AAAACACCTTACTACCTCATAACTCTCAACATCTTAATAGTACAATAACAGCCATTCAGAACAACAATTGCATGGCCTACCATTCAAAACACCTTAAATTCGGCATGAAATCAAATTTGACAAATCTTCTTTTTATATGTAATATTGTAGTGTTTATTATAAATGATTTATCTGTGCACTTCATTGTTTTTTTTTTTAATTCATGTACACTTATAATCTTTTATCAGACACATTACCCTGCCTTCCTCCCTCGAAATGACCTCTCTTCTCTTTCGGTCACGTGCCATGGCAAAAGGGTGCAGCTATCGGTGCACCGCCTCTCAAACTGAATGTAAACCAACTGGCATTAAAATCTGCCTCCATTTTGTTTGCAACGCCCAACCTCCAACGATCCAATCAATTCCCGAAGGCCAAAATCAAGCCTCGCCCTACATTTTTTTCTAAATTCAGAAGCCGTTTCACTCGGATATGCGTCACAACAAGGAAAAAATTACAATCACAACATCCGTTTCATGCCGACTTTAACCACTACACAGTCCAGCAATGCAATAACAATCATTCAGAACAAATTGTCGGCATAGCTTGTCTGGCAACCACCTAAAACCCCTACTAATGTGGTAACAACCTTTCAGAATGCCTAAAAAATGCATAGTAACACAATGTTAATCACCCACAATACCCTAGTAATGCTGTATCTACCTTTTAAAACAACTATGCCCACCAACACCTTGGCAACCTCCCACAACACCCTACCAATGGGGTAACAACCACTGACAATGCCTTAGCAACTTAACAATCTTATAGATTTCTTTGTCTGACGAAGAACAACATGGTTTGAAACGTGACATTTGGCAAGGACGTGCAATATAAATACATTTTCTATTTTGGAGCCGTGGTGTTCCAACTTTTACTTTTTCTTTTTGTGATTGGGATTATTTAGTGTTTAGCGATGTTGTTGATCTTGTGTTGTGCTACTTTCATGTTATCAGTGTGAAGCTGCTTTGATACAATCTGTATTGTGAAAAGCGCTATATAAATAAATGTGACTTGACTTGACTTGATTGAGGTTTCAATAATAGATTCAAAACACAGATTGTCTTTTTTTAATGTTTAATTTGGACACTGACTAAATGATTAAGGAGACTGTGTCTGTCTCATAACAATAAAAGAGTTCCAACATAGCTTCGGCCCAGGTCCGTTGTTCTGACAATTCATGCTACCCGTCGAGATTTGCTATTACCGGTTTTGCGCATGTGCAGACTCACAGTTTTTTTTTTTTTTTTTACAAAAGGTACATTTTCCTGTTATAATGTATAATTTCCCTTTAAAAAAATGCTTACTATCATATGAATATTTGTACGGTCAGCCAGCTGAAAAGGAATAACTGAAAGTTTCAGTTACTATGAGGAAAGGTGTACTTTGACAAGTCAAAGATGAATATTTTATGATAATTTTGACTTTTCACAACGTTTTAAAAATAAAAACAGTAGTCTACAGTATACAGTAGCTACTCATAACTTAGAATTGTATTATAATTGTATTTCATACGACTTTAATCGGCATTCTGTGATCAATTCAAGCTACGGTAGCATTTTTCGACAAGGCAGCAAAAATCGGCAGAACACCGGCCCATTGGTTTCACACGTACCAGGTGTGGGCCAGATCTGGGCCGACACTATGTTGCTGTTTGGGTTGCTTATTAGTTCACCATTTACTGTAGTACTTCCAGGCCAATAATTTTACTAAAAATAAATGATAAACAACTCATTCTCTCTAGACCACCCAGTATTTTATTGGACTCATTTGTGAATTGTATCTGCTTGCTTGGGGCTTTATTAGTGTTCATATATTACTATTCATATTTACATATGGAATTTTTCAAAACCCCTAATGCAACTGATTACACTTCAATGTAAAATAATATTAACTCTCTACAGACCTTCATTTCTTTTTAAATCTTTACAGCTGTAGTACAAAGCCATATACAGTATAATGCAACCATTTGCATAATTTGAATAGAGAAAACTCTCTCTACGGACAATGGAGCCTTACATATTAAAATTGTGTTAGCAATGCCTACAGGGAATAGCATTGAGCTTTTCAGCAAGATGGCATTTTCTTCTTGTGGCGCCAGATCCCCATCCATGCCCTGTTCCCCTAATAATGGGCTGCTGTCCAGAGAGCTGAGATAAGCACTGACAGGCCTCCTGCAGGCAAGAACACAAACCAGATAATACAGCAGATAACACAAAGAGACACAACAGTAGGACATGAACTACATAAACACAGCTCTGGCCTCAGTGTGCGGGCATATTTGTGCTTTTGGGTCAGTAAAACACACTGAGACAGGACTGGGAGACCAGATGGTTGGTAATGATAGAGTTAGAGTAGTGCTGAGCGAGAGTAGTACAGTAAGTGCACATAATCTGGAGTGAATCACACAGCTCAGCAAACACAGAGCTCTGATCCGCAGCGCACTGTCATGCCTGCTGTAATGGCATTATTTACAAAGATACGCACTGAAACTATTGGTCTGAAAAGCTGACTAGAATCAAAAACTGATGGGATCAACTGGAAATGATGTCATTGAAAATACCAACCAAATTCCAAGAATTATCTACTAAAACACACCAATGTACATTCCAAACCTGTTGAACCTTTCTTAGATGGTATACATATCCGGGCAAACTATCCAGGAACATATGGCTCAGTTCAGCAAAGATCACATGGGCCGTATCTGGCCCACACACATAGAGCCGGTTTTAGTGTGAGTTGTGGCTTGCTGTATATGTGGCCCATATTTGACCTTTGCCGCTGCCAGAACTGAGCCATATGTGCCATAGTTGTCCCAGATGAGGCCCGGGTGCCAGCCACAGTCGGGATGTGTTCACACAGGATCATTCCATGCGGTATGTGGGTTGTGGGAGATGTGGGCTACAACTGGGCCTGGTGTCATTTGCTATCTGGGTTCTTCTGTTGAACACAAAGTAAGACATTTTGAAGAACTGTTTTGTTCATGCAATGCGAGTCAGTAGGGTTTAAAACACTGACTTTCAGTGTATTCTCAAAAAACATGTTGCAGTTTTGGCGAACTATCCCTGTTAAAATCCCTTATGAAAATTAACCATGATTTTACTACAAATGAAACAAAAAAATAATAATGCTGAACAGATCACCTTCTGACAGAAATGTCATGAAATTTTGATACATACTCTACCGTTCAAATGCTGTTCTTCCCATTGTGGTGTTGTCTCGACATTTATGCTTCTTTGCTGCTAGCCGCTGCCTTAAATGCGCTGGATCCTTCATTGGAAACCAAAATCAGACCGTCGGGGAACAATACAAGTCGACACCATTATGACTAAAAGTTTGCTTAGAGTATTTCCTACTAAAGTATTTGACTCTGGTAAGTGTCTCCATAGCAGACTAGTGGGAGTGTCTTGGATGGCAATATGCCCAGTGCATTATGGGTGAAGTTTTCCAGCTTTTTCTATTTTCTGTAATCAGGTGGCACTGACTTAAATTATTATTATTATTTTTTTGCCTTTCTACTATATAGGCAGCCAAGTGGTATTGAAAGTCCATTTTGCCAAAGTGAAGTACCGCTTCTATGATGGTGTCACCATGGTGGAGAAGAACCAAGTCCACCCTTCATATAACAAATATATTTGTTACATAAAATATTCATTTTAACTCCTACGGTGGCCAATGTAGTCCAAGATTAACATGGCTTCCAGTTCCACCTCGTCCATGAGTGTTAACTCAAACGTAAACGCGAATGGCGAAGCTTGAATTAACGGGTATATCCCTCTTTGGCTAATGTACTTTCTAGATGGAGGGGCAACATGGCGACCGACATTAGAACCCCTTACCCGTATGTATTTTCAATGGCATATTATACACTCATGAGAATACTTTATTACTTGAACGAAGTAAATATACATTAATGAGAACATATATTTTTGAAATAACCAAGTGTTTTCAGTTAAGAATAAACTAAAAGAGTTACACAGTGTAGCTTTAAGAAAACACCATTTTAACTACTTTGGCTTTGTTCAAAGTATCATGAGAGAATCGTTCATCGAACCAAATCATGGCATGAGTGTATTGTTACACCCCTAATGTTATCATTGCTAAGCTGTTCTGAGTGGGTTTTAGCAAATTGCTAACTGGCTGCTTAATCAATCCTAAAATCTCTGATTTTCTGGTCTCGGGTCCCTCCTTCTACACTCTAAAAAATGCTGGGTTGTTTTAACCCAATTTTGGGACAAATATGGACAAACTGAAACATTGGGTTAAAAATTGTAATTTAAAAATTTAACCCAATGGCTGGGTTTGTCCATATTTGACCCAAAATTGGGTTAAAACAACCCAGCATTTTTTAGAGTGCATCTAATTGCATGAAATTTAAACACTAAATGCCTAATTTTTAAGGTCAGGAATTTTAGAAAGCAGTGTCTATAAAATGTCTTCTAGCTTCAAATGATATACCAAGTAGGGTCATGCCCAGATCCTGTGAGTGATATTGCATTTGACAGTTTTAAACATGTGATATGGTGCATGAATGGTGGCTCACAAACTCAAACACACAGGAAGTCAGAAAGAGGGTAAGGAACTAATTGCATCTGCTTGAAAAGACCTATTGTTTTTATAATGAAGCTAAAAGCCCGTTCAACAAGTTCTAAAAATCGTTCTCAATATAAAAAAATAGCAGAGTTCCCACCACAGCTAGAATGATAACGGCACAGCAAAACAATACCATTTGAATTACGTTCAAAGTTTTTCCAGCTGATGATGAATAATAAAACGTGTGTCTGGTAACACAGACAGCAACATGGTGTCGGCCCAGTTCTGGCCCACATCTGGTACATGTGGATTCCCCACCGTCCAGATGTGGGCCAGATCTGGGCCAACACCATGTTGCTGTCTGGAAAACAACTCTAAGGTAAAAATGAGGATAACACAGAAGAGATTCAGGAAAAAAAAATGGAGGAAACATGCACTTTTTATATTGCTTGATAAAGCTTTAATTTATCTGTAATGACACAGTTTCCAGCTGTGGATTACGCATTCAGCATCAAGAGTACAGCACACGACATCTACGAAAAAAAACACACAAAATATTCAAAAACTGAAGTCTGTCCAGCCATACCTTTACACTGCCAGAAAAAAAATGAACAAGCTCATAGGGAAAAACATAAATGTACAACTTGATGATAAATTAAGCCTCAAGAAGCAGTGTATGTAATGGTTATCAACCAAACTTCATAAATAAACTGTACATACTCTTTTAAAAAAAAAGTTAAAAGCTTTTTCCTTTGCTCTTTTGTCAACTTACAGCACGTAAAATAAAAGCGGTGGATCACAACTAGACTTTTTTTTTTTTTTGCTCTCTGATTGACCGTGGATGGTAGACATGTAGCAGTAGTTTTGCTTGGTCGTTTTGTTCAACCTTGAGTCCAGGGCTGTAGTAAAGACTGATCATGAGTGAAATGTAGTAGTTTCAATCATACCACAGGATGAGTCACACATTGTCTGTTTCAAAAGGCAGCCCAGAAAGTCCCCAAACATAGCCATATTGTTTCAGATCCAGTAATTCCAACCCAATACAGTTCATGTAGACTGCCACACTTCTTTAGACTGTAGTTGCGAGTAAACAGCTGCTGGTACTCAGGTTGACAAGTGCAGAACACACACACATTTTCTCATGTCCACATGGCACCATACGGGTCACCAGTCTTCTACAAAACATGTTAATCCAACAAACATACAACTGTACACTTATGGAGAAAAAAAAAAGTCCAGTTCCCCACAGAACTTAACGATAATACAATCCTTTCAGAATTGACATATCAAAAAAGGCCATAAACAGCATATTTCCGCAAACACAGCATTCTCTCACAGCCAGGGAAAAGTCTAAACAGGAAATTTACAGTGCATTGTAGACTTTTCATAAATGAGGTGAATTTACAAGTTACTTTTTTGACACAATATTTCACATATATAAAATAAGAGCCAGCAGATATGGTTGAAAGTAAGAGCAGAAGTTGGATAGTTGCAGAAAAAAGCTGGATTTCCCCTTCCCTAAACAAAATGTTATGGTTTCTACAGTGGAATTTCAAGTGGTACTGTAGAAAAAAAAAAAGAAACATGTTAAGTCACATGTTTATGCAAACGTACATTCAATTTTACCAATGCTGCCGAACAACAACACATTGGGCCTTATTCATTTTTGTTAATCATAAAACCATTCCTATGTAAAAACCTTTCCTAAAAGCGTTAAATTGTAGCACTGAATTTAATTTATGCAAAAATGGTTTTAACTACTATTTCAATCTAATTACGCAAGAATTTTTTTTTGCAAAATTATTCAATTCATGGAATAGTCCGTAAAACCGTTCTTGCTTAAATTGGAAATAATTCATAAAACCGCTCATATAAATTATCACCTTCAAGTGAATAATTTGTTAAAAACCAATTCCAATTTACGGAAGAATGGTTTTGCAAATTATTCAATTTAACGCAACAATTTTTACAAGAATGCTTTAACAAATGAATTCCATGTAACAATTTAAGAATGCCTTTTAAACAATTTCGTTCGTGTTTCATAATTGATGCCCATTGTTTGTATGAGGAACAATTCATGTGAAACGGTCAACAAAATCTGAAATGTTTATTATTCCACAAGTGGACAAAGAAATGGGTTTGGAAGCTTGCTTTTGTTTCACAGCCTGAATACAGTATAACAGTTTATAATGTATAAGGTTATTGCTTACTGTTAATACTTTAACTGCAATGTTACGAACAAATGGCATTCATTTTGTGGCCTCATGCACAAAACACAAGTTTAACTATATATATTTCCATTAGTCAGCCCAAGTGTTCAGTAGAACAAACTCAAATGCATTCAAATTAGAAATAATAAACCAATACCATAAACTCAATCAATGGAAGGTTTGGCATTGGGCTGAAAAAGTGTTAATCACTTCCTAAATGGCAGCTGATGGACAATGAAGACGCATGGCCTTCCTGAATCACATATTATGGTTTTATAATAACAAGAAAGGGTCGAACTGTCCAGGTAAATGAGTAGATCACCTATTAAACAATACTGCCAATGCTAGCATGGGTATGTCACTTACAGCGCCAGGAATCATGAACACACAGCAGCACATGAAGGCGGGCAAGACGGTTAAGAAATGAGGGAAATGCAGAAAGAGCGGTTTAACAACAAAGTGCTGACAGTACGAAACACACAAGCAGTTCCTCGAAGATACAAGGAAAAAGGCGGAGAAGAATGTCAATTGTTTCGTGAATAGTGTTTGACTTTTCGAAGATAAGGGGGTTTACGTTGTTGGGGGAATTAAAAAAGCCAAAAGGCACACTGTGCGACTGCAATGTTTTGAAATGTCTCAGAGCGTAAATGCAGATGTTTGCCAATAATTTTGCACAATAACTCAAAAAACAAACAAACAGTGTATATATTAACTTGAACTTCTCAAATTCTTAGTGACAACAGAATTTGGTTTAATTAGCTGAAATGGCGTTGGATGAAATGTTCGGACAGTTTAGAGGTAAATCTGAGCATTTATATCCAGTCAAACATTTGCAGGAAAATACTGACAGAGCTTCTCAAACAAACAGCGGCTGCGGCACGGGAGGAAATGTTTTAGCAAACCCTGATTGTGGTACGAGAGCAAATAGTGCAGAGAAAGAAGCACAGGAAGATAAAGTCCTTGAAGAAAAAACATGGTGTCGGCTTTTAAGAAACCAACAAATTATAACGTTTAAAACGTTTGCTCTTCAAATGGCACGAAATTTCACAAGATATGCAATTAAATCGGCTGATATCATGTTGAAGATAACTCGGGCTCAAACTAGGCCTTTATACCTCTTGTTTGAATACTGCAGGGTGGCTGCAAAGACTGTACAAGCGTTGCGTTGTTTCACGATAGTTCGACAGTATACGAACCTCTGCCACAATTTCCTATGTATAACCTCTACAGAAGATATTGCTCTGTCCAGTAAACATAAAATGGACCTGAGTGGATCCGTTTTGAGCATCCAAAAATCTATAAAATATGGCAAGAGTGCTGTATGTTGGGAGCAACACTGTGATAAGCAAGTGATCCATTCATGCGCTAGTGCCATTTTAAAAGGCTTCAGTCATTCTCTACCCCACTTCCGTGCCGATATAACGTTTAAAAACCATACCGTTCATCCGAACACATGATAAAACGGATATGTCTCAATATACAGAGTTGTTCAACCACCACTAAACAAGCTGCAAGGACCTTAGAAAAAAAAAAAGTTGAATTTAGATGTGATTTCATCAGGGTTCTGATGTCTCCTTAAGTGCCACCAGACATCGTTTCCTCGTAAATTTTCTCTTCTTCACCCCTTCATAACATTTGGCTCATCTAGAATGAGGTCTCAAATTGTCAAGGAACCTCACAGGAAAAACAAAACAGCACCAAGGACATAAATAATCTATTCAAGCTTGCTAAAGTCACAGGATAAAAACTATCAGGAGTTGGAATAAAACCTAGAACAAAAAAAAAACAAAACAAGTTTCAGTTCATTTGTCCATCTGCGCCCACGTCTTCTCGCAGTTCTGTTTCCTTGTTTACACCAGTGCATAGTCCTTGGCACACGGTGCCGTTTAAACATCCAAGATTTCCTCTGCTGTACCTCCGCAACGCAATCGGTAGCGTCCCGCCCTCCAGCTGATGGTGGGGTCCCAAAGAGCGGACAAGAAAATCTGAATGGTCATGGACTCCCTGATGAACCAGGCCACTGCATAGTCCAGCTTAGAGAAGGATGGAGGGCCGCCCTTTGAGGAAAGAGAGTAGAAAGACAATTACAAAAAGGACTGACAATTTCGGCAAATCAATATAAAATGGCTGAGGAACAACTTGTGATTTTGCTTGTTAAAAATGAAAACCATGTCTGCTTATAAACTCTCCCAGGAAACTCGAGAAAAAACCCAATGAAGAAACAACCAATGTTTCCTCAGTAATGTGACATTTCTGAGTGGAATGAGGTTAGCGATTGGATTTGAACCAAGAAAAAAAAATGGCCAGGACTTGATTAGGGCTGTAGCGATACACTAATCTCATGATACGATACACGATATTCAGCTCACAATGTGATATAAATCACGATATTCATCCAACGATACGATTCGATATAATTCGATACACTTACAACATTTTCTGCAAGATTTAAAGGGTGAAGCTGATGGTTGGTTCTTGTCACATGAACTGCGGTGTGCTTGAGGCATTATCTCGCTGCGCCTGGAAAAAATGAGCGCGTCGCTTCAATTATTAGCGCGCGCCTACATTTGAAATAACGAACTTGAGTGCGCAAGACACGATATGTCAACGGCCCTTGAAAAGCTAGGTTAAACAAGGGGATTTGAATGGGATTTGAGCCTTAGACTTGACTTTATCCATTTGGAATTGATAGGATCATCAAAAATGGTTGTTTTATACCACAATACTGTAGAGCCAGAGCTGAAATGCAGATTTGTTGTGCTTTGTTTTTTTTTTCTTCCAAACTTAGTGTCTTACCTGTACTCCTCTGAGCTGGATGTAATCAGAAATGAACCAGGCCAGACAATGGCACAGGAAAAACACCATGATGTCCCAGCGGAACACATGGTGCGCGGCCCAGCCGATGATAAGGCTCGCCACAAAGCACTCTGAGATTGGCTCAATGATGGTGCCTGGCAGCATGTTGATTCTGAGCTTGGCCCATCTATAAAGAGTGGATAACAATGAAATGTTTATATGAAGAAATGATACTGGATAGCATATAAAAAAAAAATTATTATCAAAATATTCAAGATATGATCGTAACCAGGGCTTGACATCAACACTCGCCATTGGATTTCAGCAGTGGAGTGTAATGCAGTCACTCCTACTAGCCAATAGATGGGCTGAATTCTATAACATGAGGGCTTTTTGACTTGAAATAGTTAATTATAAACCCCTGGTAAAATGAGTCCTGAGTTATCTTGCTTCAAGTTTCACACTGCTCATAATTTACCTGAGATTAACAATTAATAAGCTGATGTTTCATACTGTACATTCCTAAACCCTGGGTTTATAATGTTCTTATTTGCAGGGTCAGTGTCATTGATTGGATAGACGCTGCAAAAGACATGTTTACATAAAAGCTCAAGCTCATCCTCGTATTGCCGACTGCACTATCAACTTCCGACTAAAAAAAGGTAAGAATGAAACAGTCTCTTATTTACTCAAATTGTCTGCATTTGACGTTCTTCCTCTCAAACACTAAATTTACAGTTTATTTTTATGTGCAGTGTTTCCAAGACATGTACAAAAGCACGCAAATTTTGACGTGATTGGTTGTCTGTTGCCAAGCGTCTAGTTTCTAACACCACATGGTTTCACACTACACAAGTTTGGCACAGCAATGCGGGGTTAACATTGCAAACATAGGCTTTCAAAATCCTGGGTAAAAAGTGTGAAACGTTCCTTAAACTGGGGTTAAAAGCGGCGTTTAGAACAACGACAACCTGGGTGAAAAGCCCTATATAGATTTTTTACTTTGGTCTTTTTCGTTACTGAAATACTTCCCATACTCATTTCCCGCAGATTAGATACGATACCAGCTCCATGTTCTTGCTTGAATTTGGGCATGCGGCACATAAAGCCTCCTCTCAGTACCAAATTTTGTTGTTTTTTTTGCTGCTTATTGTGCTTAAACAGTTAAATACACACTAAATAATGTCAAAATGGTGAGTACTTGTGTGAGTACTTGGTGAGTACTCACATAAACACAGTTATTTATGTTTTAAGTGAACGTAAACAAACAGTTGAGAAAGAAAGCTAAATGTGTAACAGTATAATGGTTCTATGCGTCAGGTCTTAAAGTGACAGCAGCCTAATAAACCTACTGCCAAATTATGAGATATTAGAAAAAGATCTATATGGCAGTTTGCCATACTGTGGCCAGTGAAAATGCTGAGTGGCTGGTAACTATGGAAAACCACTAGTCACAGTGGCTGGTGAGCAGAAAAGATGTCAAGCCCTGATTCTAACAATGCTGCGATATAAATAGGCAGGGATCCATCTGCAACTCTATCAGAAAAGTGCAAACAACATCAAAAATAACCCAGTGTCATCACTACTCTGGAGGTGGTCCCATCAGGCAAACAGATTGGTTTCACTACCGAACATAAAAAGCTGATTGAACAACTGCCGCCGTACCTGATCATGCGAGACTGGAATTGTGCGATGGAGTATGAGCCAGAATTCTGCATGGCTACCTGCGTTGCCATGGAAAACTTCCATCCTCTGAAAGAGAAACAACATGTCAGTGAACGAGCAAATAAAGGGCATTTTTGCTGAGACTGATAAAAAGACAGTATGAGAGATGTAGTTCAAAGCTAAACATTCTGTCATCATTTACTCGCCCTCATGTTGTTCCACACCCATAAGATTTGGTATATATTTTGTATGGATGTTTTATCATATATTAATGATGTTTGACAGCCTCGACCCCATTCACTTTCATTGTATGGGAAAGAGCAGCGTGAACATTCTGCTAAACATCTTTTGTGTATCATGGAAGAAAAAAAGTCAATGTTTTGGTACTGCACGAGGGTGAGTTAATTCGATTTTTTATTTATTTATTACATTTTTTTATTCAGGGATATATAAAACAAATATTATAGCCCGTAAGCCCGACAGAATATGATATAGTACGCCATTAGCACTGTACTGATGTTTAAACAGTCCGGCTAACCTGTCTGCGATGGCCTTGGCCATGAAGTAATCTTCAGCGATGTACTGAGCGAACGCAATCAGCCCGCCGGCCTGGTCCAGGACGTCCTTCCTCATGAGACACGACATCCCGGTGACGCACTTGATCCCCGTTACATTGGCCGAGATGTAGGAACGAGGATGTGACGTTCCAAAATAAACCTGTAGGATTTCACATGGGACAAGTTTAACATTTTATAATCCACATAATTAATCTCTAAAGATTTGATGCACTAAGAAATCGCATTACGTATGTAAACACATAGGGCAATTATTTATCTGTAGGGCTGCCAATTTAACCTGTTCAAATATTGACTTCAAGCCTGTTTTTTAAGCGATAATCGACAGAGATATTTAGCAAGTAGAATTTACTTTTGAGCTTCATAAATAAAGCAATAATGAATTTAAATATTGCATTAATTTGTCAAAAGAGCTTTAAAGTCCAGAGGCAAAGAGGAGCTGCTCCACCATACGGTCGGTGTCCCATTTCAAGTTTGGTGTCTCTACTAGCAACACAGCCACAACTCAGCAGTTTTATTACTGTGTGACATGACAGAACACAGCCCATCCACACACACACACACACACATACAATAAGCAATGATGTCGGCTCACAAGCAGTCTAATAAAACCAAGGCAAGACAAAGGTCTTCAACACCGTTCTGACAAAAAATTTGGAAGGTCAGTTGTGAAGGCTTCTGACCTGCTCCAATGTGGCGGCAAATCCTTGTCTGTCTGCCACATAAGGAAGGCCGTGAACCAGTCCCACCTTCTCCGTCATCTGATTAGCCATATCAGTGAGAGTGTCTGGCTTCACTGTGGAATATCAGTTCATGATCAGCACTGACAGCATTTCAAGGGTGTATCTCTTCAAAACATGCTCATTTTTCACCATTATTCTTCTAAGTAATAGTAATGAATTGTTTTTTTTTTTGTACAATATTCACCCTTAAAGGGCATATTGCAGGTTAGAGGACCCAACGAGTCGATGCATAGAAAAACAATGTAGGAACTAGATTTTCTTTAAAATATACGTATAAACACGCCACAGAAGCTTCTGCAGTCGTTTTTGTGAGAAAATTGTACTTCCGCGTCTGAAAATGGGCGTGGCGGGCGTGACGCAATGAGCGGGAGAGCGGTCGATTCACACAACAGGAAAACAATGAATCGCAATGACATTTCGGACGCTGAGGAAATACTCGTATGACGGATCAAGCCATAAAGTTATGAGCCTGCTATGCTAAAGAGATCAGGGACAGGCCAGGATAATGTCAGACAGAATGGTCAGAGAAAAATTGAGCTGTGATGTGAGGAGAACCAGTGGAGAACAGGACAGGTGCCTTTTAGGTGAGAGACGTACTTATAGTATACACGTTCGCTAACGATATACACTGTGCTCACAATATTGTACAGATTATTATGATCCTATAACAGGCCAGCAGACATTAGTATGTTTAGGGTAGATTTATATACTATTAAATGTATAAAAACTTTACTTGAGTATATTTCTATAGGCTACTAAAAGCATAGGCTATACTCGGGTAATTTTTTAATACATATTTTTCACCTTGGTTATAACATAAACAGAACATTAAAGGTTTGAGTATTTAAACAACCAATTTTGTTTTTCAATTACAAGTTTTATTTAGGGCATGACATGACTAAGTTACCTATATAACACTATTTGATGCCATGCCATTGGTAGTATACGACGATCAATATGCTTCGGCATACCATGTTGAACTCCATCATATTGCCGGGATGCTAATCATTTGATCTGAAGTGAACGCTACACACGACCGTGTTTTCCGAGCCGAGGGAGAAATCCCGTCTCTTCACCTGCTCAAACCGCACCAGGAACGAAAGATAGGCTATTAGCACAGTCACTTTTATTGTAATGGAAACTTGTGGACTCGATCTTGAAGTCCTGACAGGCTGGAGTTTTTGCAATCTCCACAAACACAATATTTACCATGACGATGATAAATTAAAATGCAAAAACTAACGAAAGCACACTGACTGACGAGCGCTCTCACTGAACACCAGCCTGCTCTCACTGAGCCGAGGCTGCGGCTCCCTGCTATGACGTCAAATGACGCGACGTTGAAAAAAAAGCCGTTTTTACTAGCAGTCCAAGAAACGCTCACTTTATCTTCTAAATTAGTGCCCTTATGTTGTTTTAAAACATTTTAAATCCTGCATTAACTTTTCATATGGTATTTTCATACAAGGTTATCTATAAATTTCGATTTTTTTTTTTACCTGCAATATGCTCTTTAAAGACAACTTTACAAAAGACGGTTAATGTACTTGTGGTGAGCAGGACGGCCGAGGGACGTGAGAGAAAGTCGCGAGGCCGGTGGTGCGATTGCTGAGAGAGGAGAGTGGATGATGGAGAGAGGAGCAGGCCTGTTCCTCTCTCCATCATCCACTCCGTCGCTCCCCCTTTATGGCTCCGCTCCTTCGTGAGAGATGCGAGACTGGTGTGCCTCGCAGGTGCTGCTCATTAGCAATCGCACCACCGGCCTCGCGACTTTCTCTCACGTCCCTCGGCCGTCCTGCTCACCACAGTACTATTCACTGAAACACTTTGAAGAGGTTTAGTTTTTTAATAATCGGAATAATCTTAGATCATGGGGTGGGCAAACTTACCTCGAATGCCACTGTCACAGATCCAGACGAGTTCATACCTTGCCCCTTCATAAGCTGGCATGAGGTTATTTATTTTCGGATTGATGCCAACTTTCTTTCCTCCTAAAAGAAGATAAAGAGATAATAATGACCTCCGTTAGGGCTATAAATGACCAAATTTGGAGGTGGCAATTTTAAAATAAATACATCTTTTAAAGTTTCTTTTTCTTTTTTAAGATACGTTTTCATGGTAGAATGGCATGAACGATAATATTCTAGATTAAGAAATATATTTAAAAATATTTTTTGGACCACTTAAGCTTCACAGTCCATCTTAAAATTCTATTATAGTAATAAAAAAAAAACAGGATTATTCCTGAATAATTCTGCCATAGAGATAGTAACTCATTTCAGTGGTGTTTTAGTATTTATAACTTTATTTTTATATTTTCAGATTTACATTTTAATGTGTATATATATATATATATATATATATATATGAATGTTTATACTTATAGTATATTTATACAACATTTCTATTTTTTTTTGTTTTGTTTTTTCAGCTAATCTTTACATTTATTTCAACCAGCGAAATGTTTTTAATTAGTGAATTATGGAGTGAGTTATGTTCAAACTGTTCGAATTTAATTACGATATACTCAATTAAAATCTATGACTGGAAACTCGAAACAAATTGCAAAATGATTAGTTATATTTAAAGACAATATTAATAAAAATAATAATAAAAGAAGAAGAAATTTGCTTAAATAAACATGATCAAGCAATTACGTAATAAACCACAACAGACCTAATGTCCATCAATAAAACAGACCCAATAAGTTTGAATGAAGATGTTCTTTTGAGGGTCGAACACCTGAAAGTCGTTTGCCGGCGAGGCCTCTGAGAGCACTAATGCACTTCACACCGCACGCTTCTCTGCCATCTGATTGGCTGGTTTGGTAAACAACTTGGAGATGTTTAAACCAACACAACCTGGCAGACATTACATGTTTTCTAACATGGCTTCAGGTTAGTGCAAAGCAGCGGATGCCATCTCCGGGACAGCCCAGCTCCCCTGACTGGCTGGAGGCAGCGGGGCGTATAACAGCACCCCGGAGAGGCACCAGCTGTTCCTAATGAGCAAGAATCAATATCCATTCCAAGAGCTGCATTTGCATATACACAGCTGAGTTGCGGTGTACACGCGGGTGGCCTTCGCTCCTCTGGAGACACTCCTCAGAGACACTGCCTTTTCCCTGCGCACGCCTGAACAAAACTGACAGCCAAGCCGACCCGTGAGGGACGTGATGTACCTCAGCATCAAACTGCCTGATGCGTCTCCATTACTGGCTTCATTCGACAGAATAAGAGTTTATTAATCAAAAACTCACCTATAAATAGCCTGGCATCAACATTCGGATATTTGCCCAGAAGCTTTTTACAAACATCGATGGCTGGATCGTCATGGTCTTGGACACAGAGCAGAATCTCATACTGTGGGGAAAAAAGAGAGACAATTTTGAGCAAGTCAGTCCATTTGTCAAAGAGATCGCACAGTTCAGACACGCTGGTGGTTTTAAGGCACTATCAAATTCCCAACACTAAAGCACAAGCACTATATTGGTTTATAATTGTGTAAAAGATTAAAAATGCACTTAGTATAAAACGTATTATTATTATCAATGTTGAAAACGGTTGTGCTGCTTCATATTTTGATGAATAGAAAAGTTCAAAAGAACAGCAAAGAACCATCTCATGATCATCAGAGTGACTATTTTCACCTAGATTGAATTAGCACCTCAATTAGCACTTTTTCTTTTAGGAAAATCATGCATGAAGATCCAGAGCCCTGTTGTGATTTCAGGTTAAATAGGTTCAGCTTACTGATCAACTTCTTTGTGAATTAATACACTGACGTCAGTGTCATCTTAACAGTATTTAACTGCCACTAAATGTATGATACGTTTCAAGCCATTTTGGTGATGATTATGTGGCTAAATACAGTTTTTGTTTTGAATGTCAGACATTTTTTTTTACATGAGAGGTACACTTAGTTTTGTCAAAAACAGAATTTAAGTAAATGCAAATAATATGCAGCAAAATAAAATCATTTTAATATTGTGACGATTCCCAGATGTTACAGATTCATTTTACAGGCATTTATTTACATTTATCTATTTATATCTATATCTATATATATATTTTAGATCGGTAAGATTTTTAAAAAATGTTTTTAAAAGAAGTCTCTTCTGCTCACCAAGGCTGCAATTATTTGATAAAAAAAGTAATTGTGAAATATTATTACAATTTAAAACAGCGGTTTTCTATGTGAATATATAGTGAAGTGTAATTTATTCCTGTGATCAAAGCTCTTCAGTGTCACATGATCCTACAGAAATTATTATAATATGATGCTCAAGAAACATTTATGATTATTATCCATGTTGAAAACCATTTTTTACATTTTTATTTCAGGATTCTTTGATGAATAGAAAGTTCAAAAGAACAGAATTGATCTGAAATGGAAAGCTTTTGTAACATTAATCACTACCATTCAAAAGACTATTTCCAACATTGAAAATAATAATTTGTGTTTTTTGAGCATAAAATCAGCATATTAGAATGATTTCTGAAGGATCATGTGACACTGAAAACTGATGTGTAATAAGCAACAGTAATGACGTTGAAAATTCAGCTTTCAAATTACATTTTAAAATATATTAAAATAGAAAACAGTCATTTTAAATTGTCATAATATTTCACAATATTACTGTTTGTCATTTTTTTTTTTCATCAAATAAAGCAGCCTTGGTGAGCAGAAGAGACTTCATTTAAAAACATAAAAAAATCTTACTGATCTAAAACTTTTGACCGGTAGTGTATACACACACACACATTTTTAAAAACTTTTGTCCACCAAATAAAAGTCATGTGGTGCAGTGTAGTGATTGTCTGTCGATAAAAGTCTCTAAAAATATATACATGATAAATTGATATGACAAAGTTCAGGTTGTCATAAAAACATCATATGGAGCAACTTTTATAAAACTTGTGTAAAAAATTACCTTGAAACATGCATTTACACTTATATCATACGACAAGCGACATAAAAAGTATTTATCATTGAAACAATTCAATCAAGAGATTCTTTCAAAAAAATGCTGATTCATCCAGTAATGAAACAAGTGAAGTGTCTGTCATTGAATTAATTAATTCAGGTCCAAATAGACTGCAGCAACTAACATTTTGTCAGAACCTCTAGTGAATTACATGCTATTTCGTTTACTTGTCTAGTACTCAGAATTATTGGAGAAGGATTATGAAAAAAAAAAAAAAAATGTGATTCTCAATTTCGTGAATCAAAATCCCAATCCCGAATCGTGCAGCTCTACGGCACAGCTTACCCCTCTCTCCCCTGCGCTCACCATTAACAGAATAATGATACGCCCAAAATAGCAATAAACACGAGTGCAAACAGCATCTGCCAATAATATAAAAGTGTGAAAGACTCGAATCTGTCCCCTACAAACACTCATACATTTCAAAGGATCCCCGAGTCTTGTCCTGAAACAGCCACTCGTTCTTCTACTGATCTTGCTCTCTGTGTCTGAGCAGAAAACACTGAACTTCCAGCACTCTATTGAATGCACCAGTAAAGAGAGCATGGCAGGCCAAGTAACAAAGGCTTTCAGGAGAGTCTGTTTGATGCTTGGAGTCGCACCAGGGCCGAAGTGAGAAAGAGCAGGCCTGCGCTCTGACAAGAGACACCAGTCCCCCTCGCAACCCTCCACGGCGACCCTGTTGCCATGGCTACGGCACCGGACACGAAGCAGAAAGACAAAGGGACTTTTCTGTGCGTCCAGAGATGTGGATATACGACAGTAACCTCTCGAGCGCTGAACTGAAAGAGTGGGAGGCTTTTACTCAATCATTTATAGACCCCTCTGGGAGCAGCCCCTCCAACTTAGATGCAGTGCGAGGAAATCTGATGAACTGTGGCGGCATCAGCTGACCCAGTCTGTTCTGGCTGAATGAGGGAGCTTGTCAGACTAAACAACAGCTTGCGAAACTATAGAACAGATGACACCAAGAAGAATACTAGCGTCAGAGAGATGGGTCATGGAAAACAAGGGGAAATCCAAGCGCACAACACATGTGTCATCATCTTAAATCTCATCACATTTGTGTCACAAGTGAAACTAAAAATGCATTTGCACTGGTTTTAATCCTGGTAAAATCCGATATTCCGATATATCGGCTGATAATGTTTGTTTTTATTAAATGTTGGATTTCACACACGTGTAAAAGAAAAGCTAACTTTTCTGCAGAAGATACGTTTGATACTTTTTCTCTACGTCTAAATGTTCACTCCTCGCTAGTATAACTTACATTTTACAATGCAGGGACTGTAACTAGAGATATGCTAGTTAGAAATACAGTAATCATTACTTTATTTAGGCAGAAAAAGTTCAATGTGGTTTCCAAGCTCATTAATGTTAACGTTAGCGGTCTTCCACTGATGATAGTGACATTAGCTAGCTTTGTGGTTAGCTAGTCTATGATGAGCCATAATTTAGCAACGGATAACATCATACTGCAAATTGTAAAACATACATTTTCAATATAACAGGCCAAAGAGAGATGATTGAAGCGTGTTTCATCCGTTTTTATTTTATTTTTTAAATACTAATTTATCGGCCATTATAACTGCCGATACCGATATTTTGGAAAATGCTTAATATCGGCCGGCCGATATATCGGTCTGGCTCTAATCCAAGGTTTAAATTAAAATGGCATGTGGTATACTTAACCATGAAGGAAAGGGTAATTCATTTCAAAGACATTACATTTAAATGTTGTTACCAAATCATTTGTTGACACGTGTTCACTACTTTTAAAGAGATCTTTCACTTTTTTACCTTAAAGCTACACTGTGTAACTCTTTTAGTTTATTCTTAACTAAAAACACTTAGTTCTTTCAAAAATATATGTGCTCATTAATGTATATTTACTTCGTTCAAGTAATAAAGTATTCTCATGAGTGTATAATATGCCATTGAAAATACATACGGGTAAGGGGTTCTAATGTCGGTCGCCATGTTGCCCCTCCATCTTGAAAGTACGTTAGCCAAAGAGGGACATACCCGTTAATTCAAGCTTCACCTTTCGCGTTTGAGTTAACACTCATGGACGAGGTGGAACTGGAAGCCATGTTAATCTTGGACTACATTGGCCACCGTAGCAGTTAAAACGAAATCGGAATTGAGAGGAAGAGAAACTAATATTCAAAAATCACACAGTGTAGCTTTAATAATAAAATAAAATACAGAACTTTTAAAATAGTAAGATATTTGGCAAAGCTAAAACTGTTTTAATTGGCAATAAAAGTCTTACAATCTTTGTCGAACACAAAAGTGGTAATTAAAGAAAAGGATGCCCAAGGTTTCTTAATGTAATAGAGTAATTACACTAGAAAAGGCACAGGTCACCTTCGGCTATTTTCCTGACCTCCGCTGTCTGTTATAATCACCCCTTCTCCCTTTTAAAGCCCAGAGCTGATGTCCCTCCTGGCATTATTCATTCAGAGGTCTAGATGTCTATTCCAGGAAACTTGATTGCCGAAAGAACAGTGCTATTTCCTGCTCTTGAATGAAGCCGAATCAAAACAGGGAGTGGATTGGAAGGGTTGACAGCAACCATACTGTAGGTTAGGTGTGTCCTTCAGCAGAACACTGAGCAAACAAACATAGAGCCAGGCAAACCACCATGACACACAGTAACCCTGGCTTCTGTAACGCAAAATGAAAGCGCCGCTCAAGCCGTCAGATGACAAAACCTACAGCAAACCTTGTGTTCTTACTTCCACCGAGTCATTGTAAGAGAAGCCTGTTCCTGAATTCAGAAATATTTTTAAAGCATGACTGATTTTGAGCAGTTCTCTATGAAAATTAGCATGGGGGATGGATTATGTTTGTTTGCTTAAGAACAAGCACGTATACTATGCAACAGTATATATGGTATTCATCAGTACATTGGCCCACATGAACACATGTTGCATGACCAAGTTTTCAGAAACAATTTGATCAGAGATTAACCTCAACTCGCGCTCTATGGACAAATTAGCAGATAAACGTGATAAAATGACTGAAGGAAGTTGCACATTTACCATTGTGTGTTACTTAGTTGTAGGTGTGAATCCATTAAGGAAATGCTCATAGGTTTTAAATTTGATACATCTGAACAGCTCTTAACAGCTGAACATCTGGCCCTCATGACATCCAGATCTCATTCCAGTGTGTTGTGCGTCACTTGCTACATTCCTGGGAGCCTGGGCTGATCGGCACATTTACTAATAATCCTCAACTGATTTTTCACAGACTCAATTTGTGGACTCCTGCAGTAACTGGTGAAAAATTGGCTAAACTCAGCTGGATTTAAACATGGTAAAAAAGTTGAGAGTAATAGAGTCATATTGGTAGCTGAAAGCATTATAAATCATAATCAAAAACTACAGCTTTGGCGCTCTTTGGTAACAGATCGCTGTTGCAACCAGATCAAGAGAAGTGCACGTGAAATGATCATCTCTTCCGCTTACTACTTACTTAAGGCACGAAATAAACATGAATGATGAACATCAGAAGGTGTGTTAGAAGATACAGTACAACTTACAGAAATCCAAAAATATCCATAGTGACTTGCATGCATAAGTTTCAGAAAACCATTACAGAAGTGCATCGAAGTTCAAAGAGAATACATGTTGCTTGCCATGTGCTGAAAATGCAAATAGTAGCCAAATCCAAAAAAATGATCGCCAAAATAAGGCATGGACTACTTTGTAGCTGCATTTCTTCAACTTGTTATATTTTATTTTATTATTTCATTTCACGCAAGTTATTAACAACATTATCTATTATTTCTAGACATTGCCTGGTACACGATGGGATTTTCAATGCACAAGTTAAATCAGGTTATCTTAGTGGAAACAAAATAATAAGGAAAATACCTCTGTATGCCCATGTTTAGGTAAGACAGAATGATGGCGGTTGCTCAACATGACATCATGACTTTTGCGTAAATATACATTATCTACACGCATTTTGAGCTATCCGCGTGTATGTCTACGGCGTTAAATGTCCGACTGATTCCGCTTGTATGTACACGCCGTTAAATGTCCGAGCGAAACGAAGCAAAATGTAGATCTACATCTGGGGAGCGATATTTTTTTCCTTTGATGGTAGTGGAAGACTCATAAATGCTATTAACCCCAGTGACGGGTAGGTTTAGGGACAGGGTTGGGGTATGCGATTATGCGTGTTGATATAGCACGCCAAAAATGGAAATACGAATTGGCGTGTCATACATATGGCATTTCATGAGATCAGTCTGGGTTTCTTGACATACAGTAAAAGATAAGAACGAGTGCATGCTGAAAAAGTCTGAGAAACAACTTCTCAAGAAATGTTGGCGCATATCTGACATGTACAGATACAATCTGAACCACAGATCACAACATGCCTTGAAAATAGAAATGCTAAAAACGGTCCTCCTGAATATTGCATTGTAATGGCTTTGAAGCTCAATGTAGAGTCACAAATCTTGCAAGGCTCGTGAACACAAAAGATGATCATCCATGATCCACAGAAGGGAAAAAGGAAAATGTAAACTGTCGTTCTGTGAAATGCCTGAATACCCAGCCAGGAATTAAGTCAAGAACGAAAATATTGTGATGAAAGAGGCTTACTGGCATATCAGTTTAAGGCAATTCATTTTTTTTTCTTCCCAATGCATTTGAAACGGAGTCTGTTGGAACAATTTAATTGGACATGAAGCTTTTTTTTTTTTTTAAACAAAAGCAAGAACTGGCTGAAAATCTGCTAAAGAGGGAACCCATTCAATGTCTCAAGAGAAACTAAAGATGCATTTGCACTTTTTCTAACTCGATTAGGCCTGATGTAAAAGAACTGGAGAAAACTGCCCTCGTTATATGGACTCATCTAGTAATGTTGAGGCTGAATTGGCTTGTGTGGTCTTGAAGAGCTACTTCACTTTACAAGTATTGTAATATTGTCCAATATTATCCTCAAACCTACTTCAAAAAATACTTAAATTCTTAAGGCCAACAAGGCTTTAGTATTATCAATACTGTTATATGAATAATGACATTTTTCATGTTACAACACATTCTAGAAATATATCATAGTTTGGATAAATAACTTGAAACTAAATAAAACACTAAACACTAAAATAAGGAATCACACAATTATACTGTACAGTACAGAATGAAAAATATATGTTCAATCGTTTGCTAAAGATTACAGAAGTTCTATTTAAAGATAAATTCTGCCATAATCTAAAATAGGAGAAATCAGAAAGCGCAAACACATATCCGACATAATGTGACACGAAAAAACTCATAAATCATTTAAATGCATACCAATTTAGTATGCTACCATAACAATAAGGGAAAAAAGTTCCAGAGAATTATACAGACTTGTCAGGAACACAGTGAACACAGATAAGCGAGAACTTCAAAACATTCCTTGTCCAATCAGATCAATGGACGGAAACTAACAGTAACTGTTGCATCAAAAACATCCAATATCTTCTGATTGGTTGAGATTGTGTGGCATCAGTAGTGCAGTGTGGACAAGGAAATAGCTTGTTTTGGAATGCTGAAGTAAAAATTAGTGGAAATTTTCTAGATGTTCCCATCATTCAGATGACTACTAGATATCCTTTGTTCACAGTAACTGAACAAGTGTTTTCACCTCATCTTGTTCACTTGAAAAGGAATGCTTCTGAACAGGGGAAGCACTTCAACCCAACAAGCAGCAGCAGGAGTCGCCTCCATCTGTGGTGCTTCAACAGCTGTGTGATGGGAAGTAGAGCAGAAAAGCCCATCTGCAGAGTCTGAACGCACCACTGCAGAAATAACACACCCCGTCATCTCTGTTCATACTCGTCACCCCAAATCCCTTGAGTGGAGCGCAGGTTCATCCTCCTCCATCAGTGCTATAGTCGCCATTTCACTTCTTTAATCAGAGGAACGCACTAAAAAAACAGTCGATCTTCACTCACACACAACTCAATCGCTAGGTTTCCATTCAAAGTTGCCAATTTAACACTTGCGAAATAAGCATCATTTCCATCCCATGTGTTCAAGAGTACAAAGCTTAATGGGAAATTGAAGCAAAACATCTAATAATAATGGAAGCTGCTGCAATCAGGAAAGCCACTGGGGTTCCATTATCCCTCCATCATAAATGAGTCTCAGAGCGCAGCTGAAACTCAATAAATGCGGTCATGTTCTTGTTTGGGATGCTGGTGTTTAGGAACACATTAATGCGAGACGCTTCTGGGAGGGAAATTAAACCAAATCATTCTGCTGACAGACTTCGGTTCAGGCATTTCAGAGCGACCAAACCAAGATTTGAGATGCTGTGATGCGATTGGGTTATCGCAGCTACCCAAAAATTTTGTTGTGCTTCAAGGGATTTGTTCGATAAATGTGTTTCCATTGTAGTTTACGCGCATGTTTTCCGTTTTAGTACTTGATTGATGGGACTGGAGTTTCTGGTCAGGGTTGGTCCATTATACACCAAATGTAATTCATTTTTAATTTAGAAGCACTGACAGATGACTCACAACAGAGCACTGATCGTCCAATGGGAAATCGGTTGTTTCTCAGAGCCGCCCCACCTGGAAAAGCATCAGTGATTTATCCTAAGCGTTGTGCTCAAGTCAGGATGCAAAATAGAAACACTGTCATTAAATGGTGTGCGGTGCCCAGCAACAAAGATATGCATTATCAGGGGACGCACCCTGCCCGGTTCCTTCAGGTCTACGGTAACCACTTCATTACTGAAGCACACAGCCAAACCTCATGAAATACATCCGGATCATAAAAAGTAATGGTATATTTTGCCGTAAAAATATACACTAATTTAGAATTGCTGTACAATTTAACATGTTATACATCACGGTTCTGATTATCAAAACTGAAATGTTTGTTGAGCATCAAATCATCATATCACAATTATTTCTAGGTATAGTTAAGGATCGTGCAGCTTTGATCACTGGAACGAATTGCATTTTTAAATATATTTTAACAATATTTTTTATGGCAATAATGCTAAAAGCAAGCTTTAGTTTCTTTATGTAAAATACAAAGTCTTATTGGAGTAACCTAGACATGTTTTTGTGATATTCATTAAGGTTTAGTTTTACCTCTGAAAACGCTCAGAGCCTGAAGTGAGTTTTGGGATTGGGTTTCGAGACACATAAATTTGCCAGGAAAATGTAAACATCTATTCAAAAGTGCCTTAAGAATGTAAGGCATGAATTTCGTGTAAACTGAGAACATAAACTATCTACATAAATGCAAAGTAGGAATTTAGTTGAGTTGTGTTTTGACTTTGTATCATCTCCTTGTAGGTGGCTTGGTTCAATTCAAGCTTTTTGTTCGAAAACGTACACTTTCTGAGTGTGGCCACAAGAAAAAGAAAGTATTATAGCAGGATAACAACATTGTAGTGCATGTAAAAATAATGAGAATTTCAAGAAATTTTGTTTGCAATAATGTCCGACTGACTGTACATTATGCCATTCATGGGAATAAACTGTATTTAACCACATACATTTTTACCAAAAAACATTTTCATGAAAGCCAAACAAATCACAGCCCTGAGAGTCGGAACTCAGAAATGAGTTTGTAATGTGTTTGATTCAACAAATGGAAAGACTTAAATGATCTAAATGAAATGCTCAAACTCAAAACTGAACTGCTCAGATTGGGTTTCATTAATCAGAGGCAGGAAGTCTTTGCAACATTCTTAAAAAGATCTCAACATCACGAAAGGACGTCAGTGGTTTTCACAGGATATGTGCAAGAATAAATGAGTAAATGACACCCGATATCTTTTAACACAATCAAAAGCAAATTAAAGTATGAGATATTTGCTTAAATTAAATATTTCATCTTTAAAAAGGTAAGAACATCCATTCTTTCATTGTTTTTCGGTTTCCAAACACATGATAGCAAACGCATATAATAATAACTTGAACTTTAACTGTCAGAAATTGGAAACAGCAGCGCGAACAACATCAAGGTCAAAGAGCTTAGAGGATGGTACCTTGGGATAGTCCAGCTCAAAAAAGGTCTCAAGATTGTTTATTAGATTGGGGTCCACCCCCTTGAGGGGCTTCAGCAGCGAGACACCAGCCAGTTTGCTGTACGGCACCTTGTCTGGGGTCTTCTTGTTGAGATGAAGACGGCTGAAAAGAGAGAGAAATACAGGTCAGCTTTAATAATAACATTGTGTGCAATTCATAAATCCATAAGGTGTCCATCCTTTTAAGGATGTTATGCTTCATATGCTTCGTATACGAGTCGGATAGTGAATTTCATGCGGATGATTCTGGCATCCCAGGGAAGCTGGCCAACTTTAATAGTAGCAAATACTTTTTAATATTTATTCTGGGTTCTTATAAGTGGTAAAGCAACTGGTGACGTTAAGGGTGACGTTAACCGATTTTATTTTATTTTAACAGATATTCACACTTTTCAGCTAAATCATTTATTGATTTTTTATTATTATTATTGGGTGCATCAACAACATATGACAACATTTGGTGCATTTTTTTTTAAAGAAAAGGACCCAAAGACTGTAGTACCAATTACAGGTAAATCCACTTATGTCACATATTGTTTAAATACTTTTTGGAGAAAATCTTTCTAAAAATGAGCTTGACAGTAACACATGACCACAAACAAATACATTTATTTGTGACTATCAATAATAACAAGAAACTTTTAAATAAATGTCATAAAAAAAAAATAATAAAATATATTTCTTTAAATTAGTTCAATAAAATAGTTATAGTATAATGATAATTTGGTTATTGTGTCAATATTCAAAATATACATATTGAATATTGCACTCTCAATCAATATTTCAAAACACTGCACTTATTGTATCACTATTCTCGAAACAAAAATAAAATTTATGTCAAACTTTACACAAATTCACATTTTGTTAAACAAGCGAAAGTCTGAAGACGCTAAGAAGTGTGACTGAAGACATATGCAGAAAAATAAAAATGCAAAATGATTATACTATCCCAATTATTTATATTTATTTGATATAGATATATTGTATTGGTTTGGTTCCAATTGGTTTGGATCAAAATCAACCTTTGTAATCATTTACAGAGAGAATCACATTTGGCTGTGATGCAATAATGAAATATCAAAGGAAAATAAACAGGTCCATGTTGTACATATTGATTCTGGTTACTCGGATGCAGCACATGCACATATTAATATATTACGAAGGTGTATTATTTCAATACAAATCTATTGTACTGTTTGCAGTTTGACAGGCAGCTGAAAGTTCATCAATGTACCGAAGCTGATCCAACTCGTTTAGTTTCCTAAGTTACGGAAATTTGTTTGTTTCACATAATTGTCATACTTTGATGAGGAAAAAAAGCAGTCTATGGGGTCAAGCGGCCATCTTCCACTATAATTAATTTGAAAACAGATATAATGACTTCACAAACACATCCCTGGACCAGTTTCAGGGTGCAAATCACACAAAGCTTTCCTGGAAGACAGTATTCTCTCAGAGAACTGTTCATGTACTAGTCTTGCTTGCTTTTAATGATGAGTTAACCAAGAGGCATCAATGTTGGCCAAATTTTGAATAGCCATCTCAGCACCAACTCCTTTGTGCACTTCCTATATGTTCTTATCTGAAGGGAGTGGAGTCTTTCCGGACACAATCGCCATCCGCTCCACAGAACCAGCGGAGAAGCTTCCAAGACCGACACAGCTATTAAAAGCTGGAGGAAAGATTTATCTGTTGAAGCATGTTTGCTTCTGAGAGCTAAGTTTGTATATTGCCTGCCAAAACATCACTGTTGGCACTTTCTTGTGAACGTCTATAACAACATGTCAAGCTTCATCTAATAGAAAGAAGGAGCGATAGAAAAAAAAAAGAAAATAGGAGATAAACCACCAGAAATTGCTGTTTCTATTGCATAATAGACCTCTATATATATATATATATATATATATATATATATATATATAGGCCAGGTTTTTTAATCAGCATTTTTGAAAATATCTGACTAACTGATTAAGTAGAAATCCCAATTGACTTAAAACATTTTGAATGGAAGCACAAAATTCTATTATACATAGAAATGTAAATTATAGAGACCGATAATCAATTTTTTATAACCGATATTTGTTACAGCTATTCTATTTTCTTCTTAATCGGTTTTGTGTAGTCTACCTATAAATGCCAGTCGCTTAATGGTAAAGTAGCAAACATTGTGAGAAATGAAAAGCATTCCTTGCTTTAAACCGGTTTACCATCAATAAAAAAACGATACAAGCACTTTCTTGATGACCTACAAAATCATGTGACATACATTAGTGAAGGAAAGGCATCTTATTCATGCATGTGTAATACGTTTACTCAGCTCAGCACACGAGGGATATCTAAAAGCTCTGGGATCAGCTCTTCCTCATCGCTCATGTGAGAGACGCTCCTGTTGGAGCTCTATTAAATATGGGGGGGAACACGACCTCATCGCCTCAGACCATTAGTGGAATGGGAACGCAACAGTCCAACGGGCAGGCCCAGTACAGCAAACCTCCAGTAACAACAACACGTTCTTAAAATAACAATGACGAAATTAATGAACCATTAGGAATTCATCTCGTTTGATTACTCATACATGCATGCCCCAAAGGCTGAAACTCGCCTTGATAAAAATAAAGCGTTATTTCCTTTATCGAGTTTGTGTTAAGGAGAAAGATTTCCCAACGCAGATTTTCACAACTGATTTGACAAATTGAAAGGTGAAGGCAGCTTGTGTCTTCTGTGTGAGCTATGCTTCATATATCACTATTGATTGGCATTAGACAATGGACCTTACAAAATTTCATATTAAAGGGATACTCCACTTTTTTTGGAAATAGGCTCATTTTACCACTCCCCCACAGTTAAACTGTTGAGTTTTACTGTTTTCAAATCCATTCAGGCGATTTTCTAATATTTAGAAGAATATCAGTAACCAGACAGTTTCTGGTCTCATTGACTTCAATTCCTACTATGGAAGTCAATGAGACCAGAAACTGTCTGGTTACTGATATTCTTCTAAATATCAGAAAATCGGCTGAATGGATTTGAAAACGGTAAAACTCAACAGTTTAACTCCGGGGGAGTGGTAAAATGAGCCTATTTCCAAAAAAAAGTGGAGTATCCCTTTAAATTTCACCGCATCTTTTTCTTTACTTCAAAAGAGATTCATAGATACCAAACTGAGGGCTGGTTTTGAGTAGATCAGCGAAAATCTGGTAAAATCTTGGGGTGTAACAATGTTCAAACCAAACTGAGAAAAAAATACAATTTTATTAAAATATTGTTTAAGAAAATAAAATAAATGTTTAGTTTTCTGCCCCCAGCTATACCTAAAACGTACGTTTCGAAACTGTCAGTTATGTCTACCGTTACACCTCTACTTATGGGAAACTATCAGTAATTCCTCTTTGTGGCAACCCTATGAGCACATGACATGCACAACCTTCCTACTTTACACAAAGAGAAAAGGATTAGATATAAAAAAAAAAGATTTTACTAAACAAATCCTATGGGTGAAACGTCACATTCCACAAGGCGCTGGAGCTGAGGAATCAGGAAACGCATCGCATAAAGGAGGATGCAACTTGGGCGAGGTTCCCACAGGACGAGTATCACACGATCCCCACACCTGACAACCTAAACTCAATGTCATCACAGTTCTCAGAGACATCACTGAACCTGTATTTCTGCACCCTAACGTCTCTCTGGTGCTGCCATTGAACCATTACTCAACCAGATAAACAATATAAAAGAATGTTAAGGCGTTATAACTTTTCTCTCCGATTGAAATGCACACCGTTTCATTTCCGTGGACATTCCATGTGAAAAAAATGTAACCTTACCAACCGTTTCTACTTTGCGACATTATTAAGACATTTGTCAATGACGCATTTTCGCTAATTGCAATCCAGAAGATCTCTCTGGCACAGTCTGTATCTATCACACACACACATATAAAAGCCCCTGCTTAAGTGAAAAAGAGAGCTACATGACAAAAGTGTGATTACACTTCAGTTGAGTCGATTCGCACAAAGCACTGCCACAAATGCAACAAGACTTTGCTTGCAAGAGGAAACATACACAATCTCACCAAACATGGCAGTTCACTTCTGGTTGCCCGATGTTGAGGCATGCAGCATACTTGCAGTCTTCGCAGATAACAGTGGCATATAATCATCACATAATCAAGGTCTGTCACGGCAATGGCATAGAAACAATGTTGATCTCCGACATTGAGCAAAAAAATTGATGTTGCATCATAAGCCATGTTGAATCAACACAATTCTTAACAGTTAAAAATCAAAAAAATTGAGTTGGTTGAACTTGTACAATTTCAACTTCTTTTTAAAATCCCTTACTTTAAAAAAATTAGTGGGAGCGTAAGGCTGTGTGTCCACCAAAGCGTTTTTCCACACGTCTGGCGTATGTTTTCAATTGTTTTCAATGGGAGTGCCGCGTTTTTTTGAGCGAACCGAGGCGCTGAGCGTTTTTTTTTCACGCTGAAGCGCCGAGCGCCCAGCATTTTTTACTGGTCGCTGGGAGTTGAAAAATGTTCAACTTTGGATAAAACGCAGCGCTCATCCCTGTCACTTTTTACCCAGCCGTCCAATCACAGTGGAGGAGGGGCGGGACTAATACCACACCGACCAACTGTCACAACATTCAACTGCTGTGGATATTCTGTATCATAGCAACGAAATGTCTCAACGGAAAAAACGCTGCGCTGCCAAAATGCTCTCAAGCGCCCAAAGCATGGCGTCTTCAGCAGAGCGTCTAACGTTTTCAGCTGGCTAAAAACGCTTTGGTGGACACAAGGCCTAACCGTGATAGAAAGGACAGTCCATAATCTCTACCGGTTAACAATTTTCAACCGTTTAATCAAGTCTACTGGTATATCGATCACCCTTACTTAATGACACCCATCAGTGCCCGAGCGGCAACAATTGAACTACTTTCTATTACAAAGAAAGCAGTTGACCCCAGGGTACAACCTGATCATGGAATTCAGTCCTTTCATTCTAGTCTCACAGCAGATCAATGCGAATGACCTCATGAATGACTCGTGGTGCTGGACTCATGACCAGCTGTGTGGCTTTATGTGGTTTCAAAGAAAGACCATGAGCCTTATTAAAAACATCATGATTATCTTTCGGGCCAGAAACCATTTAAAAAAAAAAAAAAAACAGAAGAAGTGTATTCAGTCAAATCACTGCGACTTCAAAAAGAGCTCTTCACTCCAAAGCTTTCGTGAAAACACACTTTAAGAGTCTTATAAACCGGCATAGGATGGTTGAGATCTAGGTCAATAATTAGGAACCCAAAACTCTTCAGCTTGTTTAATGGTAAACCATGAACCGCAACTCAAACGCTCACAAGAAGAGCAGTCACCGAAAAAAACTGCAACTGCTTTCCTGAAACAGCATTTCACAACACATGAACAAAGGGAGCTGACGTCTCGAGACTCTTTTGAATGAATCGAATAACCCATGATGACTTTCTCTAGAACCCTGGCCAATTTTGCATTGGCCAGGTGAATATGAACACATCATTTGGGAGTTTGCAAATGTCCAAAAAATATAGACAGAGTGACACGACCCGACCCTAGAAGAGCCTCTCTAATCAGTCTGACACGGATCAGAATAGTAAAAAAGTCACACACGAAGTCTAGTTTACGAAAACCGTGTGTATTCTGCAGCAGAATCAGGGCATGATACAGGCAAAGCCAACTCACATGACAGCGTTCATGTTGCAGGTGGAGGAAACTCCTGACTCAAAGTTCCCTACTAGTTACCAAAGTTCAGTTCATTATAGCCTTATTAGGCCTACCATGATAAACACTGGCAGTCAGAAGATCATACACACTTGACTTATTTTTTTTTTTTTATCATAAATGCTCAAGAATGTCTGAATTTTAAATATGTGTGTCTCAAGCATTCATAACAAACACGGCTCTTCTGACTGGCTGGTATGTACATATGATGGCTCGATATACGACTATTTGATACTATATAATCATTAGGAGACAATACGTTATGAATGAATAATTAACAACATTGGTGAACTTTACAGGAAACTGAGGGTTTTAACAATGAAATGCAAACGTGTTGGTGAGCACAAGCTTTCAAAACATGACATACCTATTGAATATGTAAATATATTATATTTAAAACCAGGAAAGCCGGTTGTCTGTTGAGGCTGACAGACGTAAGTTAGCTTTAACTCCCACCACTGAGATTAAATGAAAGTCCTTTGAGAAATGAACCACAAAAGTGATTCAAAACCCATTAGACTTCGTAAATTTACGAATAAAATAACACGGACAGTGAGCAGTAGCTAACGTTATGCTAACGATCATCGCTAGCGACAAGAAACGAGATTACTGAAGGACAAGCCAGAGGCTAATGTGTGTAGGATAGTATTACGAGTTCTTCTCCCGCCAGCTATACAGTCAATATGAACATTTCGATAGATATACATATGCTTTCACGCGGAAATAACAGCGAGGCGCTGAAGAGGAAACCAGTGTTCCTGTTAGCCAGCCAGACACATAACGTTACTACACCCCATCTGCAACGCTCCGCGTCGGTCTACAACGCTCCCGTTACAATCAACGACTCTGCCTACACGATCAGCGTCGTTGAAAATAACGGAAGCGTTCTGGGCGTCGCGTTTCGTGGTCTATTTCAAATCAGTGATGCCGCATTCACTTACACGTAGATGATTGACACGAGGTGCATGAGCCAGAGGACGATAAACAAGAGAAATCCGAAGATGGAGAACCCCTGCAAAGCTAGATCGAGCAGGGCCATGGCTGTCCTGTGTCCGGGTGCGCTGACACCTCAGTGTTCGGCCCTTATGCTGGCTGGAAGCTCTCTCTCTCACACACACACAACACACACACTCTTACACACATTCAGATGACTGGGTTGAGTGGGCGGGTCTGCGGGGAATCGGCGCATAGCAGTGGTGGGTGGAGCATGATGACGCAGACAAATGGGCGCAGTGTTGCCAACTATTTTCAAAGGACAGTATGTTAGCTAATGCTGCTGTAGATGAGATTGGATGTGGGAATATCCCAAATTAAATGTCCCTCTTCAGACCCCTCAGTGAGTTCCAGGTTCACACATTGACCACATGATGTCGCCACGACACAAGAGTGTCCGTGTTGTTGTGGAAATTTACTTTTAAAAGTAATGCATTACAATGTTGCATTAGCCTACTCCCTAAACACCTAACTACGTTACTTTATGAAAACTAGTTACATTACTTTTTACCTTTTCTCATCTGAGCTGGGCTTTCTTGTTTGTTTTTTTAATAACAAAAAAGTTATTCTATTTTTAGCAAATGTAAAGGCCCTTTCACACCATAAGTGAAATGAATAAGCCTCAGGCTGGAGGAAATTCAAACCTGTAGAGGGCACCACTCTGACAAGAACGTTTTGCATAATATTGAATATTCTGAGTTTGCGTTTCACTGTTTTATTTCATTTTGAGGAATTACAACTCAGTGCCTCTGCACTTGCTCTCTATTTCTCTTTCTCTGTTAGTCAATAAAGTAACTCAGATATTTTGTTGTAAATTTCAAATGCGTTACTTTACTAGTTTCTTGGAGAAAGTTACATACATAGGATTACATACCTAACTGAATAATAATCTGTAATCTCTGTAATAATCTGAATTAGTAATCTGATTACATACCTAATTTACATACTGAATTTGAATAGTCTGGACCGCAGCATAAAGCGTTTATATATTTATAATATATATTTTCTGTCAAACAATGAAACGAGTGTGATATTGTGACTAGTTTATATATATATATATATATATATATATATATATATATATAAACTTTTATAAAGTTTATTATTGTGTTTGAAAATGTATAATACATGTACAACCAGTCTCTAAATAAATTATCTGGAGTTAAGCAGAGAGCCTCGGGTATGAATGATTGTCTGTGCTGTTGGTGGAGGATCTTGGTACTGACGCATGAGAAGGAGCAGCTGGATGTGCTGGAGGAGGACATGTGAGCTGTCCCACATATCCCGGGACTTTCTTGTAGGATGAGATAAGACATTGTAGGACCACTTCTATTCAATTCCAGAGCAGATGTTGAGAGTTTTGAAGGCAGTTTCTGTTCTTGGTTGTGAGAGACAAGGAGGAAATTGAGAAACAAAGAATCTTTATGATCGAGGAGCTGTGGGAAGTATGTAGGATTCTTATTTTGGGATCTAAACTAGTTCAGTTTTCTCCAGACGCATTGTTGCTGGGATGCTTTTTGAATTACGAATTACAGATAAAGGCCTCATACGATTTTACACACAGGTTTGATGAGAAACCGTATAGTGCCCAAGGGATCTATTTTGGGACCTTTATTGTTTTCCTTTATATGATCCCCTTGTAAATACAACTTCTCATATCACTGTTTATGCAGACGATTCTCAGCTTTACCGTCCAGTAAGGCTTGACACGAGTGCTTCATTTGATGTGTTATTGGGATGTGTAGATGATATTAAGAGGTGGATGACAAACAATTTTGGAGTTGTCCATCAGATTCCTCTCCTGCTCTGAAAGCCAAGTTAGGTCCTCTTTTAACAAATGTATGCAAACAAATCAAAAACCTTGGAGTGATCTTTGACTCTTTATTACTTTTTGATAAACAAATAGGTGCTGTTATTAGAGGAAGCTTTTTCCATTTAAGATCTATTACAAAGTTGAAACACCTTCTTTCACGTAAAAATTTGGAGAAAAAAAATTCATCTCGATTAGACTGTTGCAACTCTCTTTATTGTGGCCTTCCTCAATCTTTATCTTGATTACAAATTGTCAAAAATGCAGCTGCAAGACTGTTGACTGGGTCTAGAAAGAGAGATCATATGTCTCCTGTTTTGGCATCCCTTCATTGGCTTCCCATTAAGTTTAGAGTTGATTTTAAGATCCTGATGTTTGTTAATAAGGCGTTGTCTGGCTGTGCACCAAGGTATTTTTGTGTTCTTATTGTGCCATACTGTCCTGCTAGGGCACTTAGATCTTCAAATCACTTGCTTTTAAATGTGGCACAATGTCACTACAAATTAGGCAGCCTATGTAGCAGTGATCCACCTCTCAAATTTAATCAAAAATATCTTCATTTGTGTTCCGGGTCTTACGGGGTTGGTACAGCATGGGGGTGAGTAATTAATGACTTAATTTTAATTTTTGGGTGAACTAACCCTTTAATTTAGTGCAGAAATATGTATCAAGAGTGAGACCAAAAAAAAATGTAACAAATTTTTTTTTTTTTAATTATTACGTTTATGATCAACAACCGTGAAGCTTCCAAAATGAATGTTTTCAAAATAAGAGTCCCATTAAATATTACTGTTATTGATTAAATTATGTCAATAATCTAGTCTAGTGTAACAACACACATTCGTCAAACAAACCAATCGCAAAAGTTTTCTTGAAAGTATAATCTTTTAAATGCATTCCACAAATCATCTAGTACCATTAAAGTCAACTTGAAATCAAAATCTACCATTATGGTTTTCTTATAAAAATGGAATATGGCAGTGCCAAATATATCTTTATTTTTGTTTTAAATTAATGTGCCTCGTTACACGACAACAGTGTTTTGGGTCCCTGAAAATACAAACTTTTGAAACAGAGTTTGAAAGTCCAAGTTTTTGAAAACGGTCTCCATGTAAACAACAAAACATGAATCTTGTAAGATGACGTCAAGCACATGCGTATTATGTGTTCAGTCGCCATCTACTGGCCTGGCAGCAGAATACAGCGTTGGTTGTTTTTGTAGATCTGTGTAAATGGGGATCGTTTTAACCGGAAAACTCAAAGTAAATGTACCCAATCGGTCTTTGTCAGTCGTTGTCTCAGTGAAGATGTAGCGTATGTTTTGCCTTGTGTTTCTTGTTCATTTTTGGATTATATCTTGTTTTATTAAAAACTGCTTGCATTTGGATCCACTCCTCTCCTCTTCCCCGCATTGGCTACATTACAGGAACACTATTTACAATGTTTTACTTTTTTTAGAAATTTCTCTAATGTGACCGAACCTTGACAAAGCAATGTTTCGAAAGTCTCCATCACGAATGAACTGTAATTTAAACGCATTATCATGCTTCCAATCCTGATATTTGGAACAACCTGATTATTGCTTGAGTTATATAGTTTAATGTACATTTTGCACTTGTGAACTCCCATAAACTTAAACCCCGTAAATTGCTTTATTGATGATGGACATAGGCTACTAATGAACAATTTGATCAGTTCATGAAGTTCAACTCAAACAATAGATAGTGACGCCATTGCAACACAAAATAATTAGTGCTGAGTAATTGCATGCTTCTTTTTCCCCCCGAGTGATGTATCTTTGTTGACTGATAAGACAATCTTCTGGAATCTGCTTGAATATTTCCTCCTAAACTTGAGACTTGAATGTCTTTCTTTGAATTCCATGTGAACAGAACGAGAAGGACAAGAAATGATTTTCTGTGAAACAGTATATATATTTGACTTTAGAGGAACATTTTTCCTTCTCAATTGTCATGTCTATTTCCACATTCATTCCTCTTTTCATTCTTTCTTTCTTCCTGCTCACCTTCTTACAAGATCAGGTGTAGCCTACTTAATAATAAGGGCTGAGTATGATTAGTTTCATCAGGCTGAGTCATTGGAAACATGCTGTCATGGACACTTGTAAAAGGATAAGGGTTGTGAATGTGATGACATCATTACCACCAGGACACGAGAGCTTGGCAAGTGTTAAAAACAATGCAAGGGATATAGCAACACTGTCAAGAGGAAATTGTGAAATAGCAAAACTACCAATACACATCACAGCCAGGTTTTAGTCTGCAGATGATGTCATCTCTAAATAACTAGGCTAAATAAAAAATAAAATGAAAAGTAGGCTATACTAGGCTACATAATTATGACTAAACAGACCATTGCTTAGCAACCTTTTACAAGTCAGGAATTATTTGAAGTCTTCTAAATTAAATAACCAGTTGAGCCTATTCTGGATCATGTGATTAGCTCTCTCTAATGAGGGATGATGAACATCCGCCTTCTGTTCCTCAGTCTTATTAGTTACGTTCACCACATTGGCCATTTGAATTATGACGGTAAATAATAATGCTTGCTTATCTTTTCCAAGTTGAGTGCTCAGCTCATATTAGATAAGAGTTCGGTACCTTGTGAATAAACTGCCTATGAATGAACATATACATTATTCTCTACATAATATGTATTATTTTAAATTCTATAGCTATATGTATCTGTAGGCCTAAGTTAAAAATTCGGAAAAATTACATATTAGCCCATATTAACACATATCATTTGGTGGTCAGCAATCGTTTTAAGTCTCTTAAGTTCAGAAAACCGTTTGAGGCCTTGATATGTAAGTTTTAACTGAGTGTGTTGATTCTAAATCATCCATTTTTAAGTTAGATGTTCATAAGCCGTATAAAAATACACACACTCTAAAAAATGCTGGGTTGTTTTAACCCAACTTTGGGTCAAATATGGACAGTGTTGTGCAAGTTACTTCCAAACTGTAATACATTAGGTATTACTTGTTACTGTTATTTAAAAGTAATTCATTACCTTACAATATTACTGCCTCAGAATTGTAATGCGTTACATTACTCATGTATTACTTTTGAGTTACTTTTACCAAAATAACTACAGAAGTAGAACTTAACTTTTTGGCTGTAACTACATTCATGCGTGACAAAAAAATAGGAGGCAAAATATATTTTTTGTAATTCTGTTAATTACACTGTGCAAATCGGATGAGGAAGGGTTGGCTCTGCAGTCTCCATAGAACTTAAAATATTCATTTTATTTTAGTTTTCGTGTTCGCATTTATGAGGAAAAAACTAATTTACAGACGTGACCGCTCTGAACTGGCACTAAAAGACTGCTTTAAAACTTTCACATAGTCTGTTGCCTTTAAGAAGTAAAAGCAGACAATAGCCTATTAGATAAGGCGCGGGGGCGTGCTGGTGCGCGTCTCATAAATAGCCAATAGGCTATACCGAAACTCAGCGTATAAGTATAGCCTACTCCACAGACCTGAAAAATATATCTATACTGAAATGTCTACTTGTAAACAGAACAATTCAAAATGAAAGAAAACAGACTGCTCTCTGCTTATGAAATGAAATGTGCATTTCGCATTCACTAGCCTACTGCGAAGATCGCGAGTCAGCATCGTCAACTTCATCTTTATTACTAAACAATTCAAGTCTCCTTGCTAAAGGCATATTTGACATATTCATAATCTTTGCTTTTTCAGCTTTTAAGTGCTTTATTATCGCCACCCTTACTACATGAACACGTCACCACCGCATCAAAAACATGATTGCGTGAGGAAAACATGACAGATACCACCTATACACAGCCTAACTGTTTAAAAAGAAAACACAGAACGAATAGCCTAATGTGCATACGTCCATCTCACGAATATGGTCTTCTTCATGCCATGCTCACCCATTAGGCGCTTTTCCACTGGCCAGCGTGAACACAGAGGCCGAAATCATGCCTCACCGCACTCCTGTAGAAAATAAATCGTTATACAGATATATCAGCCTTTATTTACAAACTTGGACACCACACGTGGCTATTGACTGACCACGAACAGGTAACTTATTTTTTTTTTTTACAATTAAAACTAAAAGTCAAGCCTCACTGTAATACAAATGTAATACAAGCCTCACTGAACATGTAACGAGTAAAATATTACTGAAAATTGATTAGTAATGCCTTACACTACTGCGTTACAGCAAAAAGTAATATGTTACTGTAATGTATTACTTTTGTAATGCGTTACTCCCAACACTGAATATGGACTAACCCAGCCGTTGGGTTAAATTTTTACATTACATTTTTAACCCAACATTTCGGGTTTGTCCATATTTGACCCAAAATTGGGTTAAAACAACCCAGCATTTTTTAGAGTGCACCTTATGAGGGACGATGAACATCCGCCTTCTGTTCCTCCTTCTTAATATGAGTTACGTTAACTATTAACCTTATGAATTATGACCGATCATGCTGAACTAGTAACAGTAATAGTCTAATAATGTGGATCTTTTCCAAGATGAGTGCTCAGTTTAGCTATATTAGATTAGAGCACGCCACCTTTTGGATAAACTGTGGAGGTGCAGTGTATATTGATGAATAATAGAGATACATTTATTAAGCACACAAAAACGTAGGCTATATATTTTTTATTATTTATTTTAAATTGTATTATATAATGCATAATAACATTTGCATCATATATTATAAAATATTAGTGTAAAATATTAGATTTAACATTAGCTCACATCAAAACAATGATTTGAAATTTTAGATTTAAAAGTCTATAATTCTTCGGGGGAAAAAATCATATTTTGATCAACAACAGGAGGTCAATATGCAGGCAGCAAAATGAGCTGAGCTCTTGAATCAATTTGTAGCTTTGTACATTTAATACGTTATCAACACTGCCCTGTAAAAACGTATACATATACGCAGATGAACAGAACTAGTAATGGATGACAAAGGAACTGTTAAATGCATGAACAAAAAAATACTTTATATAAAACTTTTATAAGGAAAAGGACAAATGAATCGGAAGTAAAATATAAAAAGTACAAAAATAAATTAATAAGTATTATTATAAAATAATATGAAAGGCCTCTGGGGAGTATTGAACATAAGGACTATAAATATGCTACATTTCCTGATTACATTATTGAAGATGACCATTCAGCCTACTCCTTTTGAGCTTCCATTATTGTGTAATGTTAAGACTTCTGTAACAAACATGATTGTGAATAGCTCAAATAAACAAATAAATAATATAGGGTCAGTTGCAAATGTTGACTTTGTCTATTCAAGTATAAATTGTACATAGCCTATTATCATATGTACACATGTTGCAGCAGTGTGGGCTGGTAGCTGACAGACGTGGGTTTAATGCATTACAATTTTTGGCTTTTCAATACAACAGTCTCTGAGAAACTGAAGGAAATACAGAAAGTGTTGCATTTATCCCTGCTTTCCCGTGACCATATTATTATCGTCACAAGGGGGCGCCGCTTCCACAATATAACCGACAAGATACAAATTATATTTTACATCATAAATTAAATCCAGCTGACAACTGTCACCTCATATATATATATATATATATATATATATATATAGTTTCATCTATTTACTTCATACACAAAAGCTGCACAACATTGTCCTATCTATGCACTATACACTATGGTGATTGTTAGCATTTACAAATCCTGTCTTTGTCTCATTGTGTTGGAGGAACTATTGTTCTAGAGGTCTTTAGGAGAGAACAAATCTCCATTCTTATCTTCTTTAACTTGTCAAAATAAGCCCTCCTGTCATTTGTCAGCTGATTAATGATGATTCAGTCAGTGTTGGGGATAATGGGGGCTCTCTTGTGATTGGGTTAAACCAATGAAAAATGTCAATCAAATCCCTCAGACGAAACTCCTGACGATAATTTAATCAAACAGAGAAAACACTGCCAACTCCAAAGCCCATCAAAGCAGACCTAGTCTGACTAACATCTTACATAATCACATTGCATAATAATTGAGCTGCTGTTTGTTTGTTTGTTAGTTTTGTGCATATTAGGTTACGTTTCTATTAATACAATAAAGTAATAATACCATAAAATAGTTAATCCACTAAATAATTACACATTAAATATTGCTCAACATTTTCTCATGCACTGTAATATGTGTGTTATTTTAGTATTTTATATAGTTTTTATTTGGCTAACAGATTTCAGTTTCATATTTCCCATTTTTAATTTGATTTTTTTTAATTCGTCATTCTGTTGTGCTTTTGTCATTTATATTAGTTTATGTTCTATTTAAATATTACTGTGGTTAATTAATGTGCATATCAGTCTAAATTAATTAGGCTACTTCAACCAAGGCAACATTTCTACATTACTAATTTTCAACAAAGTCAATTTTGTTTTTTGTGTTTTATTTCAGCTTTCTTTATTAAATAATAAAACGTTTTTTAATAGTTTTAGTTATCAGTACTAACCCTGGTAATAATACATAATAGTTATATATTAAAGATAGGCTATCTTAAATTTTAACTATCAACTATTGAGCATTGTATAATGCGGCGTTAATGTGTTCAATTCAAGTTATATGCTGTTACTCTGAAAACCTTTTTTAATATTTAATCTAATTAATCTATAATCTATTTTTTTCATATTGAAGTCTTTGCGTCTGAAGAGCCTTTGCAAAGAGATGTAGCAATATCCATCAAGTTGTAGTGTGCACTGTGCACTACTAAGTATCTTCACTTGACATAAAGCAGCACTTCCTGTAATGTGTGCGCGTCCGCGATAGATGCGCGTGCATTAGAAAAGGACGGGCTTAATCTGGGAATAAAACTGGAGTTGCGTAATTGTGGTTGCGATCGCTTATAGGACTGCACATCCCTAGAATCACTTTCATATTGATTTCATAGGACTGTTAGTGGTCGGAGATGCAGTGAACAGGAGATATTTTTTAAATTTCATATCTCCGAATAGTTGCATTATGGGTCTGCAGACTGTGTTCCGCGGGGTGATCATGGGGGCCCCGGGCTCCGGGAAGGGGACCGTTTCTGCTCGGATAGCGCAGAGTTTCGGTCTCAAGCATCTCTCCAGTGGGGACTTGCTGCGGGCCAATATCGAGGCGAAGACAGGTAACGTTACGACAGCTTCAGCACTGTGCTGTTCATTATTTACACGAGTCGTGACTAACGGAATAATATAAACGGTTGAATCTTTTTGTAACGTTTGCTACGACCGTAGTTTAACTTCCTAAGCAGGGTGCAAAACTTCACGAACTCTGTTTTATGTTGAGCAGGATAATTAGAGGTTTCTTATCACTAGAACCGAGTCTAAACTTTGGTTGTGTCTCAAAACGTAGCACATGTCACTATATGGACACAGCTTTTCTCATATTTTTGTTTTGAAATGCTTGGAAGAGCACTTTCTTCCAGTGCTGGTGTTGATATAAACACTGTCTGGGACAACCATCAGAGCCTGTCTGCTATTTACCTCAGGCGTTTGCGTCTGTGGCATCACTCTTTTTATGTGTAGATTATACGTGTATTTCCAAATATTTGTGCTTTAATAGGGCTTTGTTTAACTTTTGAGGGTGATGTCTTTCACCAAAGAATGTGCCCTGCATACTAAACATGTCTAAGAAAGGGACTTTGGTTGCAAATCACACCCAGCCTGAAGGCTGAAGCAGAAATTTGCGTCGAAACTCAGAAATGTAAGATTGACTGTAGGCCTATATTGCGCAGTGTTGGGCGAAGTTATTTTTCAAAGTAATGCATTACAATATTTATATTATATAATTCAATATAATATTGAATTATATATTGAATATAATATATAATTATATATAATTTAATATTTTCTCATATGGGCTGGGTTTGCTTGTTTTTTTATAACAAAAAAGAGAGAAACAAAATTATTATGTTTATATAAAAGTAATTTTTGCTTATTATTATCGATGAATTGGATCAACGAAGGTCAGCAGCAAAGACATTGGTTAGGCTAATAAAGTGAGATTAAATACATAAAGCGTTTGTGTTATTTAACGTGTTTTATTAGAGCAGGTTGTGTAATACTCAGTTTTCATTTCACAGTTTTTATTTATTTTTTAGGAACACAGAATCTAAGAAATACTGAGTGTTTGTTCAAGTGAGATGAGGAAATGCTCACATTTGAGAATGAGACTAAACCATTATTATTATTATAAACCAGATTCAACATGAAACAAATGACCGTCAAATGAACCCTATGCATAACACAAAATTTAGCCAGATATAGAGACATATTTCAATTAATATTTGAGTTTCATTTATTTACAGATCAAAGTAGGACCTTAAAAGGAGAATTCCCAAAAATGATAATTATCTCATTATACATCATCACCCTCATGACTTCCCAAAGAATGTTGGTAACCAAACATTTACCATTGCCTTCCAACATATGACATATGAAAACAGACATTTCTCAAAATATCTTCTTATAACAATTATGTTTCTTGAAGAAACAACAAGAGGGTGAGAACATGTCAAAATGATGACAGAATGTTGTAAAAAAAAATGTTTGTAAATTTTTTGAAAACATATTGAAAATGATGGTTGTGGTTGCAATCCAACATAAACGACTAAGAAATTCAATCTAAATAGTCTTTAATTCAAAGAACAAAAGAACTGACAAAGTAAAGTAATAACAGCATTAGTAATAAATTAATTTATTACTAATGCTGTTATTACTTTACGATAGTGTAGTGATACACAGTATTAATAGGTCTAAAATATGTTGCACTAAACTGAAATACACAAAGGGTCACAAGACGATTATTACAGAGTTATTGAAATGTGTAGAGACACGTAAAGTTCATGTATGAATGACTAAAGTTCATTGTATTGGTCACATCATTTCCAATTATTAGTAGGAGCATAGTAAAAGTCATTTGAGACTTACGGTAATGATCAAATTTATAGCCTTACATCACACTAGAAATCATGAATACGAGTAATGACAGACGCGTCATATTACTATCAATTATTTCATTGGTAAAATTAAATAAATACAACATAAAAAATGAATTCCTGACTATATATTTACTGTATTTGTGGATTTCTTCTGTATTTATGGAATAACTCAATTCTGTCTCTTATGCACCTGGGCAGATTTGGGTCTTCTGATGAAGTCGTGTATCGATCAGGGTCAGCTGGTTCCTGATGATGTCATCTCGCGTCTCATCTTGTCCAGTCTGAGGGAAATCGAGAGGACCAGCTGGCTGCTGGACGGTACCGCTCTCACCGCAGCGAACATGCTCTGCTATTGATCTTATGTGTATGATCTTTATTCATGCTGTGCTTGTGTGTCCTGGCAGGGTTTCCTCGCACCGTGGCTCAGGCCGAGGCCCTGGACGCCGTGTGTGATGTGGACTCTGTTTTAAACCTGGACGTCCCTTTCCAGACCATCAGAGAGCGCCTGACGTCCCGCTGGGTGCACCTTCCTAGCGGCAGGGTCTATAATATAGACTTCAACCCGCCCAAGAAGCCGGTGAGTCCTCTGCGGCTGTTGAGATATTTACAATCCTGTTTAACATTACTTCAGGGAACTGTTGATAATTAAACGAAAGAAACAGGAAGTTGGCCACCTCTGCTCATATAAAAACTCCACAGTGACCTGTACACTTGTTAAATTGTTAGTTCACCCAAAAATGAAAATTCTGTTAGTATTTACTCACCCTCATGTTGTTCCAACCCCGTAAGACCTTCGTTCATCTTCAGAACATGAATTAAGATATTTTTTATTAAATCTGAGAGCTGGATCACTCCTGTATACTAGTTCATAGGCTTCTTGAGGGATTGAAACTTGCCGGCATCGAAAAATTATTAAAGACATCGTTAAAATAGTCCAATTGACTACAGTGCCTCAATCTCAAGCTTATCAAACGATGAGAACACTTTTTGTGCACAAAAAACAAACTAAAATAATGACTTTTAGCGTATGCCAATAGTGAGCCTACGTGTGATGTAACTCTACGCAAGTACACTAGTTTTAACTGACTAGAGACCCAAAGAGAAGTAAATGAATAGTTGAAATAAAGTCATTATAATGTTGTTGTTTTTTCGCACAAAAAGTGTTCTTGTCGTTTGATAAAAGTTAAGATTGAGCCACTGAAGTCATTTGGACTATTTTAACGATGTCTAACTTTTCGAGGCCAGCAAGTTTCAATCCCTCAAGAAGCCTATGGACTAGTGTGGAGGAGTGATCAAGCTCTCAGATTTCATTAAAAATATCTTAATTCATGTTCTGAAGATGAACGAAGGTCTTACGGGGTTTGGAACAACATGAGGGTGAGTAAATACTGACAGAATTTTTGGGTGAACTAACCCTTTAAGTTAACTTATTGTTAAGCATTTGTTTGAAACGGATGTCATAAATGTCAGTAGACCGATTTTAAAACGAGCGGTTCATTCATAAATCTGTGAGATCTTTACTCCATGCTGTGGAAATACAAACCGAATAACAGAACAGGAAAAGAGGCGGGGCTACACTGGTCTATACTTCAAAAAAATGCTGTGAAAATACATTTGATCAGTATTGTTGCCATAATCAATAGAAATGTAAGAAAACATACTGAAAATGCTGTTCAATCCCTGTTTTCTGCAGGTAATAATAGTGTAATGTGAATTACGTCAGGTAAATGGTGCTGAGTTTTGTGAATTTGTTAGTCTAATTTGAATGAAGGAGGTGTGCTTGCACTAAAAAGACTAACATTGACCTTGGCCTGATTAAACTGGATTGCAGGTAGTTATTGAACATTTTTTTTTGTGCTGAAATGCTGTTCGTAAGAGTGAGAAGCAAGTGAATTCACACAGAGTGCTTAAAACAACCCCTAACATACTTTTAAAAAGAGTTTTGAAAGACTATACTTACAGTAAGTAACAGAAAGTACACTTAATTGCATGATAATTAAATGAAAGTGTTATACAGTAGTTTAAATGTATATTAAATGCAATTAACTGAACTTAGAGTGCTTTTTATCTGTACTTAATTATGACTTAAATGCATTTATACATGTAATTTCATAATTCTATTGTGTTTGGAATATGGTTAAAGTGTACTGCTGAATGTACTGACAAGCATTTATGATAAACTAAAATAGAATTTCATTTCATTTCTATTGAAACTTGTATATTCGTAATTTCACTTTTGTAATGAAATGGCAAATCAAATTAGTATAATTTAAAATATATTAACTGTAAATGCTGTGTTGAGCAAAGTAGCAGTTAAAAACTAGTAAAATTACAGTTAAAAATTATAATTAAATACTATATGTGCTTAAGCATGTTAGTCAACACATCAAAATAAGTGTACTTTAAAGCACAGTATATGATTTTTTTTTTTAAATGATTTGAAATATACTTAAAGTAAAGCGTTTAATCTGACATGATTGCAAAGCGCACTTTTTAAAAGTGTACTTAAGTGTGTCAAGAAACAGTCATGAATGTTTCCCCCTTTCACTACACTTAAGTGGGCTTTTATTGCATGGATATTATATTATTCCAAGTACAGTTTATAAAATTGATGCATACTTATAAACATAGATCTGAACTATACTAACACTATAAATGCACATTCAGTAAAATTAAGCACACTTTCTTTTTAGGTTTAATACATGTGTGATGTGGATATATACTGTAGATAAATTTTCTAAATTAATGTACAATATAAATTAATTTTACATTTAAATTTACGTAATTTTTCATATTTAAAGTAGGGCTGTGCAAAAGTTAATTGCGATTAATCACATCCAAAATAAAAGTCTGTGTTTACATAATATATTTGTGTTTGTTGTATATAATTATTTTGTATATATAAATACCTATGCATGCATGTATATATTTAAGAATTATTTGCGCTTAAATTCTGTATATATTTATACATAATCTATATTATATAAATATAAATATTTTATATATGAATAACACATTTTCTTAAATATATACATGCATGTGTGTGTATTTATATATACAAAATAATTATATACAGCACACACAAATATATTATGTAAACACAGACTTTTATTTTGGATGTGATTAATCGCAATTAATTTTTGCACAGCCCTAATTTAAAGATTTTCAAAATATAAACACATTCTAACAAACAATTTTTCTTTAAATAAAAAATAATAAAAATGTAATCAATGTTAAAAGCAGCAAAAAGTACAAAAAATGAAGCATTGGATATAAATGTGTGTGTTAAACTTGTTCTTGTGGTAAAAGTAGGTCATGGTATTTCACAACCTGAGCGCTCAAGACAGATAAGAATGCTTCTGTTTACTGAGGAACTTTGCTCTGATCCCTGCAATAAATCTGGAGCACGCTGAAGAAGACACAGACTTCCTGTAAATAAGCTAAAATATAGTTGCTGCTATACATTGAAAGAAAAAGAAACACTTCTAAGAGCAAGGAGTTTTAGAAAAGTAAAACTGAACAAAGAATGAGTAATACGCCGTTTACATGCAAGAGCTTCTAAAAGACGTTCCACCACAAAGCCTTTGAAAGAGTTATGACTCACAACTGTTTCAAAATGGTAATATTTTAGTCATCTTTGCAATGATTTCAAACAAGACAGCAATTCAGTGTGTTCTGAACTAATACAGAACAAGCCAAGTGTGAAACAGTGTTTGTCAGTGTCGCTCAAATACAGTTATGTCCACACAAACCTGTGTGTCTGAAGGTCAGTGGAGTTCGACAACGCCTGCCAAGGCTTGTTGACTGTTTCAATATATGAACTCTTGAGCAAAGGCACCGTTAATTTTGTGTTTATAGTACATTGTATTTGTGATGTCGTGTGTGCATAATATACTGTAGAGCGTAATCATTGGTCTCTATTTGCACAGGGTCTTGATGATGTCACTGGAGAACCGCTGGTCCAGAGAGACGACGACAGTCCCGAAACCGTGTCCAGAAGACTGAAGGACTATGAGAGACAGACACAACCGGTTCTAGAGTACTACAGGTACTGTGCAGAAAGCTGTGTTTTCTTTATGATTTATGCTGAGTGAAACAATCCAGTAACACACACAGCAGAAAATATTTAAAGGAATAGTTCACCCAAATTCTGTCACTCTTTACTCACACTCATGTGCTTCTGAGATCTGTATGAATTTATTTCTTACATGGAACCAAAAGGAAGATGTTTATTCTGCTCTTTTCCATGCAATGAAAGTGAGTCTGATGAGCTCCAAAAAACACTCACAAAAGTAACATTAAAGTAGTCTTCATATGTAAAATCTATATGTAAAATCTTCAGAAGCCATTTGAGATCGGATCAAAATTGAATTTGTTATTTGCGGGAAATCTTCCTCAAATCTCACTTGCGCTCTTTTGTACATTCAAATCGAAGCATGTTGCACCAGCTGATGTCATCCAGGGTTCATAAAACATTTTTGTCAGCCAAACCCCATAGAAGTAAAATATTAGCTTGAAATAACTTGAGAATTTAAGTTAATTTTTCAATGAATGAACAACACATTCGCTTTTCCACAATTCTCTGATGTTGGTTAATGGTCACATGACATGTAAGTAAATAGATATATACGAATATAGAATAGAATATTAATTAGTTTTAGTTTGACTTTATAGCCAAACTTTAAAAGTAGTTGTAAACGCGTCTCAGTCCATACATTATTTACAATGGGGTTTTAGGAACCTAATCAAATTGTAGAATAATAATGAATATTATTAGTCTAAATATATTGTTTCAAAATAATTGTTCATGCTGCCTTAAACCGTTAAGTTTAGTCAACATAGATATTTGAGTTATCTCAAAAAAATTGTGATTGCTAAATCATTTTGTTTAACAATGTTGACTAATAATAATAAAAAGGAAGAATATATTTATATATGACATATTCTCCTGTAAAAAATATAAATATTTGTTAATAATAATTTTATTTTACAACACAAGTTACAATACTAATATTTATGCCCTAAATTAAAACCTCAAGCTTTAAACATTTCAAACATTCTTGCTTTTATTTTGGCACAGTACTGCTGAAATAACACCGTCTCATCCCAAGACGTCATATAACTGACGTCTTTTGACCATACGTCAACATCCGCCGTTTTAGGGATCTGACCGACGTTAAAAGGTACCCTAAAACGGCGGATGTTGACGTATGGTCAAAAGACGTCCCAAGACGTCAGTTATATGACGTCTTGGGATGAGACTGCGCTGGCTGAAAAACTGTAGTCTTCTGCCCACAAAAAAATGGGAAACTATGAGAATGTGTAAGTAAGGTAAACGTAGCGCAATGCAGTGAATCGTATGGTAAATGGTAAATGGACTGCATTTATATAGCGCTTTCATAGACCTAATGGCCACCAAAGCGCTTTACATATTGCCTCACATTCACCCATTCACACACACATTCATACACCGACGGCGGTGTCAGCCATGCAAGGCGCCAGCCAGCTCGTCGGGAGCAGCTGGGGTTAGGTGTCTTGCTCATGGACACCTCGACACTTGGTCAGGTGGAACCGAGCATTGAACCACCAACCCTTCGGTTTGTGGACAACCCACATGAACCACTGAGCCACTGCCGTGTATCACAGTTATCATGCAGCTCCTATTATTTAATTGTACATTTGATATAATCAATCCCCTGCAGTTTGGGAAACCCTGCATTACATCAACGGTCTTTAGTTCTCCGGGGTCTGGTCAAAGGAGGAACATCATTTTGGGGATGATAATGAACTATTCCTTCAAGCCGGCCTGAGGGTGTAACGCCACATGAATAATGTGTTTAAGCCATTACGTGTGGTACATTTTAACAGGAGTAAAGGAGTGTTGGAGACATTCACAGGAACTGAAACCAACAAGATATGGCCTCACGTTCAAGCCTTCCTGACCAGGAAAATCCCAGGAATCCAGCAGGCAATGGGAAAAGCCTGATTCTACAATAAAAACAAGGACTTTTACAACACCTGAAGAAGCACAACGCACCTCTGTGGCCTCGTATTTACACGCTGAAGCCTTTAGTGTCACAGCTGGTTTATGACAAGTAAGTGGCAAACTAAAGGTTTATGTTCAAATTAGTCTTCTGTACACTAGCATAGCGCTGCCATCTTAAGCAAACAAACTAGCTTCGAGTGTTATAGGCATGCTAATAGTCGACTTAGCCTCTTAGCAGAAGTTGCTACAACAACAATCTCATACTGGAGAAGTATTTATGAAGTTCTCGGATGAATGCAGTGCAAAAATATGATTCAAACCTGATTTTTCAAACCAGTACCGCACATTTTGTGTGAACCACTGTGGCCTTTATTCGCAAAAACAATCTAATTTTGAGTGATGATTACGTAGCAATGTTTAATTGTAGATTGAATGAATAGTATTAACAGAGTCAATATTTTTTCAAGAAAATAATGTTATTTTTAATTAAGAAATGTTATTGATACAGTAATCATTAAGGGAAAGAAATTCTGTGTGATCAAAATGCTGTTTTATAAGTCCTTTTGTATTGATGATAAAACACTATTGTGTGGTTACGGAGTCCCAGCCCACATATTAAGTGCAAATCATTAACTGTAAAACAGTTTGTGAATCACTGTAGAAATTGTCGTGACTGAAAACCCTGCTATTGAATAATGGATAAATTATTAAATGTAATGTACTGAATGTGATTTTAGAAAGCGGACATTTGAAACAACTGCAATAAACAGTGAAGCTAGAATATTTTAGTTTGTTTTGGTAGTGAAGCTCTAGATTTTTTACATTATACATTTTGTAAGAGAGATAATAACAATAAAAAGTAAAGTAAACATCCTTCTTATCAACATCACTAGTAATTATCCAGTATTTTCTCAATCAATCTGATCTCCCACGTTCGTTACATTTTATGACCAATATTTTATGGTCCTTTTGTTAAGTAGACGTGCTAAAAGAAGCACGTATTGTATATTTTATCCTACTTTCACTGCAAGACCCACTAACCTCGCAGTCCTTCAAAAAAAAAAAAAAAGGTCCCTCACCCATAAACAACGTTTTAAGCCAGTTTATTGTGCACATGTAATCATAAGGATAATCCCTCTCACAGAGAGCTAGCAAAACATTTATAAAGTGCTCAAACGTAATTTTAATAACAGTGAAATAAAGCGGTCAGCGATACTGTGGGTCTAAAGATTTAATTCAGTTTGTTTGATCTGATCGTAAAAGACTTGCACAATATCACCACATTTATTATAACACAAATCCTAGGTTTGCTGTAAATGTGTGCAGTACAAGCAATGCAAACTGGCTGGATGTGATGCGCAAACCGCTTCTGCAGGGTCTCAATGCAATTATATCAATGAATACGTTTCCTAAAATCTGGTAAGGGAAAGCTCTCAAAATCTTATTCTGAAGGACAGTTCATCCAAAAAAGTACATTCTGTCATCGTTTTACACAACTCTCATGTTGTTTCAAACATGTATGACTTGCTCTCTTCTGTGTAGAACACAAAATATTATATTATACATATTTAGAAGAATGTTTTTTTTGTTTTGTTTTAACCATTTATTGAAAGTCAATGGGGTCCAAAACAACATTCTTTGGACCCCATGAACCTTCATTGTATATAATATAAATCATACAGGTTAGGAACGACATGAGGGTGAGAAAATAATGACAGAATTTAAAACCTCAGACGAAATATCGCTTTGACGTTTGCCATTTTTTTGCTTTTGATATCAAATCAAACTTAAATGTGAATCTCTTTCATTCAAACTGTAAGTACATTGCATTGCTGGTTTCATGCCGTATAGTTGGACCTGGAAATTAATTTTTGCAAAGGTCTCACTCCCAGCATGACGATAAAGTGGGCGTTCCTGCCCCGCCTCAGTGTCGTTCCTCTATCTGCATGAAGCCACTGTTATCTGCCGCGTTCATGCACACATGAAACACTTCCCAGATAGCAGCTGCAGTTCAACGTGCAGTGGACCTTATAGATTACAATCCAAAGGTGGAGACACGAAACAAAAACTTCAAACACAAAGAAAACAGCAAAAGGCTTCTCAAATATCACTGATCTTGTTGATTTAAAACCAATTTATAACAAAAAAGGTTCAAACTATGCGGATATATTTGGGTTTTCCCTTTGCACTCCTGCTTGTAGCACTTTCCTAAACTTTTTTTCAAACGGCTAAAACAGAAAAGTGAGCAACAGAAATGTAACAAAATACAGTTTCCTGTCTTCTTTTTAAAATACTTTCTCTATTAAACAAATATAAAGTGCAGCACACATTCAGGCACGGATACAAAAGAAAAGTCTTTGAGCACAGCAGCCTCCTCCGACCCAAAGCCGTTTTCCAACTGAAGGTTTGTCTTCACTGCTAGGTCTCCATCATCCTCCACTCGTCCGTTTCTGAACTCTCCTCTTTGGAGGCTCGTGGTATATTCGTCCAAACTCCTGCCTCCAAGCAGCGCTTCACGTGGTATTCTGCCACCTGTGATGATTGAGAAAGAGGATATTAATAAACGGCTGAAGCTGACTGTAACTTGCAGCACAGTATTTGCAGAAGAAAGAAATTCATATGGTCCGGAACAACTTGAATGATGGTGGAACTCAAAGGAGTAGTTCACTTTTAAAAAAACTTTTGCTGATAATTTACTCACCCCCATGTCATCCAAGATGTCTACATCTTTCTTTCTTCAGTTGAAAAGAAATTAAGGTTTTTGATGAAAACATTCCAGGGTTTTTTCCATATAATGGACTTTATTGGGAACCAAACGGTTCAAGGTCCAAATGAGAGTTTCAGTGCAGCTTCAAAGGGCTTTAAACGACACCAGACAATGAATAAGGGTCTTATCTAGGACCCTTCGAGTCATGACTCAAAAAAAGATTTGTTCATTTTGATGAACAAGTTCGAACAGGGGAGTCACGAACGCTCATCACAGAACAGAGCAAGGTGAGCATTTGTGCTTATAAAACTTAAACTTTTTTATTTATTTTTTAAATGAGCGATCGTTCGCTAGATAAGACCCTTATTCATCTTCTGGTGTCGTTTAAAGCCCCTTGAAGCTGCACTAAAACTCTCATTTGGATCTTGAACCGTTTGGTTCCCATTGAAGTCCATTATATGGAAAAAATGCTGGAATGTTTTCATTTCTTTTCGACTGAAGAAAGACGTGGACATCTTGGATGACATGGGGGTGAGTAAATTATCAGCAAAAGTTTTTTTTTTAAAGTAAACTACTCCTTTATGCTTAGAAAAGTCATAACTTAACTTCAAGGACAAATTTGTATCTGATTAGTAACTTCTCTTTGATAAGTGAATGTGCACATTTTTTGAATGTTACCATGTTTTTACAAAGATATTGCTATATTTAACCCCTTTTTATTCATAAACATTGAGAAATTCTTTAAAATTTTACAAGTACAGCAAAAACCAGTGTGCTGCAAGAGAATATAGATTTCATCAATATTTATGTATACTTCAATATATATCAATAATTATTTACATCATTATATGAAGTTTATAAGAACATATAAAATGAGAATTACCAGTATGAACTGTCCTTCAAAACATCAATGTTACTCTGAAATGTTTTCAAACTAAATATACCACTTTTAAATAACATAAACTTTTATTTCCAGATGAAAGAAAAAGGGGGACAGTCTTCAGTGTCACATGGTCCTTCAGAAATCGTTCTAATATATTCGGATTTGCTGCTCAAGATCATAATTATCGATGTTTTTGTGGAAACCATGAAACATTTAAGGATTATTTGATAAATAGAAAGTTTAAAAGAACAATCTCAAATGAAAAGAAGCTATGTGGAACGTATTTGGTGCTCAAGGAATTATAGGTCAGAGGAAGGAAACACTGCAGATTAAATCAGTTATGCAACTCTACCCGTCCTTTGACTCTCATTGACTTAGCAGCATGTGTGTGTGATGTTCATGTGCGCCGAAAGTGGAGGAGGTGTTCAAAAAACCTGAAAAATGTGCCGAACCGAACCCCACTTAAGCCAAAATGTTTGGGTTATGCTCTGGACAATCCGCTATGCTTTCTAAAGCTGTACCATAACATTTGTGGGGTTAGGAACCAAGAATCAGCTCTTATTCACATCACAACAGCACTAGAGCCACAAATCTTTTCTCAAAAATCACTAAAATGACAATTCAGGGAACTGTAATCATCAAGACGAATCATAGGATTTTGAAGTGCATGTATGACAGGTTATGAAAGTGCTGTTAACACCAAAAACTGATATAGTCCAATTTCACCGTCTCCCACTTTAAATGCTGGAGCTGTATAAAGCAGGATGGATTCTGATTGGCTGTCAATGTTTTTATTTTTCTTCAGCTTCTGGAAGTGATTCCAACAATATCGTTTTATCATTATAGTTGTGGTGTGAACGATCGCTATATTGTCATCTTTGATGTGAACCTTCGTGCTGCGGCGTTACCTGTGGGTTCATGTTGCTCAGCACATTCTGAAGAATCTGCATATCTTGCATCTGGATGCATGTTTTCAGCTCCTGCAAAGTCAACATTTGACTCGTTTTATAGTTTGCTACTAGCGACACTACTAAAGAATTAATTTAATTCTGCAAGGACGCATCCAACTGATCAAAAGTGACAGTAAAGATTTACATTGTTCAGAAAAAAAGCTTTTTTAACCTACTATAAGCCTGAAATTTACATGTGAAGAGTTCAGATGCAAAAGCCTCTAAGTGCCATTTGAAATTTTCTTCTAGAATGATCATTTTTATCAAGCTTGTATATTTAAGTTCATTAATTTCACTTAAATTGCAATGAGGATTACCTATTAATTGTCATTTAAGTGAAATTACTAAACTTGAATATATAAGCTTGATAAAAATGATCATTTTAGAAGAAAATTTCAAATGGCATTTAGAGGCTTTTGCATCTGAACTCTTCATGTATTTCCACGAAGATATGAAATCAAGCAGCACAACTGGTTTCAACATTGATAATAATCAGAAATGTTTCTTGAGCATCAAATCATATTGCAATGATTTCTGAAGGATCATGTGACACTGAAGACTGGAGTAATGATGCTGAAAATTCAGCTTTGATCACAGGAATAAATGACATTTTAACTTATATTATAATAGAAAAACGATTATTTTAAATGGTAAATTGCACAATTTTAGTGTCTTTACTGTATTTTTGATCAACATTGAAAATGCTCACAAGAGTATATGTTGTCAAGATGTGTCCGAACCAGCTGCGAATTAAGTGTTACGATGCATTTTGTCAGCAGTCTATTTTCAATGCATTCCACAGTGAAATCTCACTGGTTCAAAATGGTTCCCTACATAGCTAAACCATGAAACATATTCCGATTCACCGTGCTTCATACCTATAATGAATACTCTACATCCGGGTACATCCGTGCCCCGAGATGTTTCAAAAAGTGGTGTAGACGATATTGACGCTGACAAAAAGTGGTGGGGACAACGTTCCACCTACAAATTACGTGTATGATCATTCCTACCGGTGGCAAAGACTCCAAAACCTCCTTGGGGTCGAGGCGACAGCCTGGCGGTGTGTTTTGGTGCACTGCCTCGTTTGGAGTTCCTCCTCTTGATTTCATGGTACACTCTTTCACTCGCTGCTTGAAAGCTATGAGTTCTGTGTGAAAGACATCCAAATATCCCTCCTGCCCAGCCTTTACAAAAGAGAAAAAAAAGAGCAAAGCAACATTAAAATTGATTCAAAGAGCATTCAAAGTTTTCACTTTCAGTGAAGTTCAATCACGACATGGATGAATGTGTGAATGTGAACTTCATCTGTCCTCTATTGCCGTTTCCTGGCCTCGGGCGGTCAGTTGTGTCATGTCTCTCTCTAGTGGTCACTGACATTATTGCATAACACTCAGGGCCTGTTTACATCTGGTATTAAGATGCGTTTTGGTTGATCGGATCACAAGTGGACGAGGCTAAATACAGGTGTAAAATGTTTTGAACTTATCCACTTTTGACCACTTCCAGAGATAGCTGAAAACACATTTGACCGGATTGCTTTCGTAGTGTAGACACTCATGTGGTCGAAGGCGTTCGAACAGCCAGAAAAGACCCGTCTTATCTCCGCCTACTGACCTAAAGCGTAAACATTATGGGAAGTGCGCTAGCCAGACGTAATTTAAACTTTGTCGGCTGAAGGCTCAAGTTAGGTTTAAAGATGAAAAACAAACCAAGCAGAATTTTCTCTCACCATTCCTGATTTCTAAATTTTTTTTTCAAATTGTGAGTCTACAATTTTTTAATGTTGTTGGAATAAGCCTTTTCTGCTCACCAAGGCTGCATTTATTTGATCAAAAATAAACAAACAAATAAATAATAATTTGTTCAATATTTTTGTGATTTAAAATATAATCAGCACCATTACTGCAAATCATCCTATCAGAATGATTTCTGAAGGATCATGTGACACTGAAGACTGGAGTAATGATGCTGAAAATTCAGCTTTGATCACAGGAATAAATTACGTTTTACAATATATTCAAAGAGAACACACTTCATTTAAACTCTAAAAATATAGAGTATATATAAAATGTATATAATAAGTATAAAATGAAGGGCATAAGAGAAATCTTAATTATTCCTCATTCCACATCCTTGAGGACTTTGTTACTGCACCTCTCTGGTTGAATAACTTGTGTAGAGTAAGAGATGTGTAATGTCTTGTGTAAAACCGGTTGAAGGGGAGTCTCACTTTGGCTTTCTGAAAGAACTGACGGAAGCAGCCTCGTGGGTCTTGCTGTGTGTTGCGGGCCATTTCCAGAATAAACTGCATGACGACGGCCTGATGAGCCACCTGCTCCATTAAGGCCTCTTTCTGCAGAAGAGGCAATCAGTATCAGAGGCAGGTCATGTGATGCGAGTACACAGTGCACAGATCACATACTACAAACTATAGAAACAGTCCAGGTAGAATATTATTTCGAAAATGAAAGAGGACCCACTTGCTCTGCCTGCAGACGGAAGCACCACAGGATCAGGTAATTGGCCGTTTCTTCACAGATGAGATGGTGGTACTCTGCTAGAAAGCGCTGACTATCATCCCACCTCCTCAACATACCTGTCCAATCAGAAGCAGCGACAACCTCCATTAGGATCAACAGTCTGCATTAATAAGCATTGGAATCAAACACAAACCCCATAACTTACCAAAATGTTTCAAGAGTTCTTCATTGCACTGGTTGAAGCCCAAGTTCTTATCATGATCAGATTCATTAGGCCAAGACTGTGACATGTTTATAATACTCTAGGAAAAAACGAGAAAAGGGGCATCAGCAATCTAAACACTAAGACCCCGTTTACACCTGGTATTAAAATGCGATCTGTATCCAGATAAGTTATCCGGATAATAAAAAACGCATGTTAATGCAAGGTGTAAACGCGTTGTGATCGGATCGTGATCGGATCTGCCTGACCACATCTGGAGGTAGTCTGGCTCGCATTGTGTCCGGATCTTTACTAGGTGTAAACGCAATCTGGATGTTGAAACCACATATGTATATTTTACTCCTCCCAAAAATGCTAAAAAATAAACGAGTGAGAGCGTGTTATAGGCTATATGTCATGTTATAGCCTAGTCAGATGCGACACGCGACACGCATCACCGCAGATGAGCAGCTGAGCGTCTATTCAACGTGCAAACATCGCAAAGTGAAAGTAAGTCACAGACGCAGTTAACACATCTTCAAGTAAAGAAACGAAATTATCTTACCAGGCCTGTTGCCACTCTCTCTTATTGATGTCTCTGATTTGGAAATTAGCTGATGAGTGATGATCAATAAAATGCCGCTCAGATCTGTTGCTTTTGGTGGCGTGCAATCCAATAAATCTGCATATAACGCAGGAGGTGAAGATCGGATTTATATCCGTTTTGCAAAAACACATTTATGTGGCCAGGTGTAAATGGAATCAGTACTTATTATCCGGATAACTTATCTGGATACAGATCGCATTTTAATACCAGGTGTAAACGGGGTCTAACACCTAATGTGTTCAATTCAGATTTCGTGCAAGCACACAAAACAAATAGGCAATAACATACATTTTTTTTATCAAATGGATCATTAATTATATTCCTCCTATTGCATTCGGTTCGGTTTGAGGTACATAAAAAATATTGGGTAAAGATTTACAATAAAGGTTTATTTGTTAACATTAGTTAATGCATTAATTAACAAGAAAAACAATGAGCAATATATTGTACAGCGTTTATTACCCTTCGTTAAGGTTAGTTAATAAAACATTTCATGTTCATGTTAGTTCACAGTACATTAACTAGTGTAAACAGATTTTGACCTTTAAAATGTTTTAGTAAATGTTGAGATTCACATAAACTAAGATTAGTAAATGCTGTTGAAATATTGTTCATTGTTAGTTAACTAATGCATTTAAAAAAAATATCAACAAATGAAACCTTATTGTAAAGTGTAAAAGAAAAAATTCAATAAATTTAATATGTGAAGCAAACAAGCTAAGAAAGAATACCATCAAAATATACAAAATTTATTTCCAATTTTTTAAAAAGGTATTTAAGAGATATAACCATTTGAAGAATAAATTGAACATTGTAACACCTATTGTATTCTGGGTCAATTTTGACCCAGGTATTTTTTTGACCCAGGTATTAACTGACACTTAATAATATTCAGTCGCTTGACGCCTGCTGTGTGTTTTATTTTTAGACTAAAGAGTTAAGTGCTGAGATAACAGCAGCCCTGAACTGTGTCATACAATGCAGAAATAAGCAGGACATGAACACTGATTGAGTGTTGATATAAGATACCTTGTTAAACACATCTCGGCTGGCCTCAGGACACAGAGTGGGGCTTCTTCCCAGCATCCTCTCCTTATGTCTCCACTCCTGTTCGGTCTGCGAGAGCTCAGCGGAGGAGGCCAGGGCTCGTGCACGCTCCTGCTCCACAGACTCCGAGCTGTGGAGCTCCAGACCGCAGAGCTGGTCCTGTGCTTCTGCCAGCTGCCACTGGGACGCGATGGAAGCCTCCAAACAGCGCTGCTGACTCTGGCACAGGGACGCCATGCTCTCCGCACTGGGCTGTGGCGGGACACAAAGATAACGCAAAATTCAGATATTCATAAAGAACATTACTCTGTTTTTGCAACAGATCAAGTCCTCAATGACAGCGACATTACAAAGCTAGCAGCACTGAACTTTTAACCATCAGGATTGCTATTCTTTTTGGACGCAAAATCCCCTTCCATTTTCCAGAAACGTTTAACATATATATCATTTAGAAGTTTGGGGTCAGTAATATTTTTGTAAAAAATTAATCATCGATCACACATTAAATTGATCAAAAGGAACAGTAAACATTGATATTATTGCAAAACAGTTCTATTTAAAAAAAAATTGATCTTTTGAACTTTATTAGTTAAAACAAAAAGTGCATCTTGTTTTCCATAATTGTTGTTTCCCAGCATTTTTAACATTTATAATAATAATCATCATCATAAATGTTTCTTGAGCATCAAATCATCCTATCAGAATGATTTCTGAAGGATCATGTGACACTGAAGACTGGAGTAATGATACTGAAAATACAACTTTGATCACAGGAATAAATTATATTTTATAATAATAGAAAAAACAAAAAAAATGTTGACAAATTGTTGAATTGTTGAAAAATTAAAAACAAATTCAAACTTGGTAAATGTAAGAGGTTTCTTATATATACACAATATATAATTTTCTATAAAGACTGCAGGGTTAGATTTTTTATTTATATGGCAAGCAACAATCTTTCAAATTATAAGACTTAAAAAATACAGTTATTATGCAAAAATGTCTTCAGTAAGAACCTCAACAAAAAGGTTCTTTTTTTTTTTTTTTTTTAAAAAAGGGACTTTTACAAGCCTAAATAGTGAATACTACCATTTTAAAGGGGTCATGGACCTTATTTTAAAAAATGTGAGGTCCACTTATAATGTTATCAAGATTTTTACATCAAAAAACATCTTGATTTAGAAAAAAATAAGCTATTTTCTATCCTGTTTTTGACTCTCTTTCAAACTCTCCGTTTTGATGGGCATGTCGCATACAAGACTTGGAAGTGAACGCCCACTGCTATGATTAAGTAACAGTTTTGCATAATAAAATAATTTTTACACATGTGATAGTCTTTTAAAAACATCCAATGTTGAAAAAATATTACGTTACACAGTTGAAACATTTGCCAACAATGTGAAGCATGTATGCATTTTACATATAATTTTGAAGTCCTGGTTGTGGCAAATAAAGTTTAAATGTGTGTTCAAATGAAATGTGTTGTAATGTTGTGCTGATGACAAAACAGATGTCACTCGCTGAAGCTTTTATTCACGATTACAGCGATTGGCTTTGATCAAAACAATAACAAAAGCAGCTTTCTTTATGTGCGCTCTTCAATATCCGATAATCCAACACATAACAGAATAAATATTCAGTACATATCAAACGATCTGTATCAGACAAAGCAATAATGACACAAGGTAAAAACATTGTTACTCACACTTCTGTAGTCATCACTGCATCATCTTTTATTTTCAGTCTCTGAGAAAAGCCTGCATTTGACTTGTTTAAAAACAAATCCGCAGTAAAATGAAGCAAACAAACGAATAGTGTCTTACTGACACGATCTCACTAAAACTTGGTTAAAAATAAAGCTCATCTATGCTTTCTTAATGGTAGGATCATAAGGATGGCAATGCAAAGACTGTGCTTTTCACATTTTGTAATCCTCAGAAGATCCTCTATCATTTTGTTGTTGGAGTAAACAATCCTGTGTTTGTCTCGTATTTACTACTACACGACACGTGTGAATCGGAGGACTCCGGTAAAGAGGCAATGGTGTAGAAGTAGGCGTTGATCTTCTGTAGAGGCCGTCTTTCATCCCACAATGATGTAATAATGTGCCAAAATCTGAAACAAGTAGTTTTCTTAGCTTGCTTTCAATAAAATCTGTTTTTGAACTAATGAGGAACTAACAGGATATTTGTATAGCACAATGACCTCTTACATGTTGAAAGATCAAATAAAATTGTATTTATCAATTCATGACCCCTTTAAATTCAGATATTTCATGAAGTAGGTGGTAGTTATATTTTTTCCCAAGGCATGTGTCAAACTGTAAAAAGAACAGCATAACACTGTACTTCCTTCTAAAATCCTTTTTATCTCCCAGAAAATGATTTGAATTATTGAGTTTGATTTAAAATAGGCCCAATACAGACAATACGTTGTTTTTATGTGATCTATGTTATGCAGTTGCAATGTACGTTAGTTACTACAGAGATAAATAACACAACTGTGAGCCATCAGAATAGTTGTGGAATTGTAATGGATCTAATAATAAAGCACTCGTTATCCTCAGCTGTCAGAACATGTTTATCAACACAAGACCGAAAACACAGGCTCATGATCTCATGTCAAAGATCCAATAAACCTATAGGTGATGATGCCTGTCTAGACCGGTGTGATTCCGATGGCCAAAAATGCTGTGGTGACCAGATTTGTGAAATAGAAACCAAAATATCACTGAATACTCATGTGGTATTATTACTGCCTTATAATGGTCAAACTTTTTAGCAATGTATTTGCGGATGTATTAAGACATTTCCGGGGACAGCTCCAGTCGAGGACAGAACAAAACCCGGCGCACGTATTGAGATAACGTTAGCTACAGCTTTTCCCATCTCAACTTTTACTGCAGCCTCTAACGTTAGTAATCCAGCTAACGCGAACTAACGACGACTTTACAGCACATTTCCGCACGGTTTCAAGTGTAAACATATAGAGACAGCAACCTCGTTTTGATTTCAAGCACAATGAAAAGGCCTCGGGTAATAAGTGAAGCCCTGGTGAACTTTCTCGGGTACCTCGTGTGGGTGTGTGCGGGGCATGTTTTCCTTTCGGTCCTGTTCAGTGTGGAACACGCCACCTCCAAACCACTCCATACCGCTGCTTAAACTCTGTCCTGGAGCCGCGGGACGTGTTCTGCTGCTTATAAAGCTTATTATCCGAAAAGCACGCGCAATTCGGTGGGATTTAAGCGAGCAGAGAGAGTTATTTTCAGGCTATAACATCAGCAGTTCACTCTGTACCCCTTTTTAGCTCGTTATGACAACTTCCGTGCGCTGACGCGATCACTCGTCACGTGACGCTACACTGTAATCACATGATACAGCCCAGAAAATAATATTTTCAAAAAAAAAAAAAAAAAACCAACAAAATATTTTAACACTTTATTTTTTTATTAGTATTTTTATTTTTATTTATGTATAAATGTTATTTATGCATTTGAGTCTATTTAAGCACATATACACAAATGGTGGACATACTACTGGGAATTTATTTGTTGTTTTCATATGCATTCTCTACTTGAGTTCGTAGATAAATAAATACAAATATTTATTGCAATATACAACAACATATTTCCATATTACATTATATTAGATCATTATATATATATATATATATATATATATATATAGTGTTATTATCCTGAGTGGGATTTTTGAAATTATAATCTAACTGTTACTTGACAAGTTTATATTTATTGTTTTTAATCAATGAAATCAAGCGGTACATCTAAAGACTGGTTTCTTTAAACTTATTTTTGAAATCTGTTGATATGTTAAACTGAAGACTGCTTTACCACACCTGTTATTTGGCGTACACTTCAAGCAGGTCTATTTATTTATTTATTTTTATTGAATGCCAGTCAAATATAAATAATAAACAAAAATAAAACAACATGTAGTGTAAAAATATTAAACAAATATAGACTACAACAAATAGGAAAAGAAAATATACAGTGTCATTTCTAAAATGATAGTACAAGTAAAAAGAAAGAAAAGAAAGAAAGAAAATAATATAAAATGAAAAAGGAACAGGTATGAGATCATAACTTCACATAGACTTAGTGCATTTTGCTTTATTATTTTTCAACCCAAGTAACTTTTTTTAACATCTGAAATATCAATAAATTAAAAAGGTTAATAAGTCATCAATCAGATCAGCTCCCTAGTTAAATTTCCGCCAGTAGTGGGCACTCGTGCAACGTAAACAATGACGCACATCCGAGTCCACAGAAAAGGGAAGTTTGAGGGGCATACAAATTTAGAGTAGGACGCAGCCTTTCTTTGCCCTTCAAAGCTATTACCGTTGCAGATATTATTTTATTTATTATTTTATTTAGTTATTATGGCACTCTGAAACTTGTTTTGCACTAAGTATTTCCAGCAAACTCGAGAAACTATTCACGTGTCACATCATCAAATGTCTATAATAAACCTTCCCCGCATTTAATGGTTCCACACGGATATATGGAAAGATTTATCCAACACACATTTTCCTCTGTGGTTGACAACAACATTATTTAAGTAAGTTGAATATTCACAATTAACACTGACTCACTGGAAACACGTAGATATATTCTTCTCGTTTTTAACGCCAGCAGTTGTCAAGTTGTTTATGCCTCGTGGAAAAGTGTACTCATGTTTTCATGCTAGCACGTTGACATTAGCTACTTCATTCTGAAATTCATATTTTATGATGCTGCCGAGTTTCAACGTCAACAAATGTTGTTGTTTTAGTCTACTGACTGATCTTGTTTTAAAATATATGGCTACATTAATAAATATTTGACATGTTGGGACACTTTTTTAAAATGTATGAGACTCTCCTGTAGACAATCCTGTTTAATGGAAGTGATATTGTTAAAGATTATGATGCTCACTTACAAATCTTTGCACGGTCTGGCTCCAAATTATCTAGCTGAACTGTTACACCTCTACACCCCGAATCGCAGATTGCGCTCCTCACGATTGAGCATGCTGGTTGTTCCTAAAACTCGCTTAAAATCTATGGGTGAAAGGGATTATTCCTTCTATGCACATGTCCTTTGGAATTCTCTGCCTCTTGAACTTAGGTAAACCCCAGTCGTATGCCATTTTAAAGGTCATGTTTAGACATACTTTTTAAAACTTGCATTCACTTGTTGATGATGTGTTTGTTTTTTGTGATGTGATGTGTTTGCTTTTAACATTTGTCCCGTATGTACAGCGCTTTGAGAAGCTGCTTTAAAAGGCGCTTTATAAAATAAAGGTTATTATTATTATTGATAAAGAAAGGCGTTTGTAATTAGTCTCAATTCAGTTGGTTTAAAGATCGCAATATGGCACAATAATGTCATTCAAGTTGTAAAAACTACAACACATCTGGCAAAAAAAGCATCTTTATGTAAAGAGAAGTCATTATCAGAGAAAGAGCGTGACATCACGGCGGTTTGATCGGGGTACGTTAGATGAGCGCGTCCTGATGCGGCTCGTCGCGTGCCTCTATTGTTCGCGTTTATTCGAACAATAACAGGGCAAACTCCCATAAAGCCAATCAAATGACGCGTCACCATAGAGACTTCACACCACAGACATACCATAGAGACTTCACACCACAGACATACCACTCATCTATTATACATAATAATGCTTCCACGCGTTGTGTCACGTGACAAACATCTGAAAAGAACTGCTCGCATGTGAATAACAGTAGTAAACGTATCAGTAAAGGAATAAACAAAAAGTTATAATAACTAAATTAATAAGATGTTTAAATACTTATTAAATTCTATTTTAACATGTATGTTTTTATACTGTTGGCATGCATGATATTTTCATTATTTTCATTTTCTTCACAATTTTCTATTACTGTAATAAGTGACACTCAAACACACAAATAGGTTAGGTATAATTGATCTACATTTAAATGTATGTATACCACTTAAATGTACATAGCATTTACTTTACTTGCATTTTAAATTATTATTTTTGTTTTTTTATTAGAGTGAGTCGATAATTGTGTGTATTGGAAAATATGATTCATCGTCATGAAATTAATGTGACAGTTAAATGATAAATAGGGTCCATTTTAGTGTTAAATGTGAACCGGATTGTTTTTTTTATATTCATCAGAGAGTGCTGCGTCGATTAATTACAAATTGTAATTGGTTACTGTTTTCAAATTACATGACAACAATTGTAGTTCTTAAAATAATAAATTACATAAATTTGAAGGTAATATAATCAGACTATTTTTTATTACTTTTGACCTAACAATATTACAATATCACTAATATTGTACCATATTCATATGTAAAAAAATACAAAGAGTAAGAAAATAAATCCATTCTTTATCAAAAACATTAGGTGCATTAAATATCACATTGCATCAGGGTTTCCCAGATGGGGGTTTGAGAGATTAATGAAAATCTATTAAATAATTAAATCATAAAAATGGAAAATTAAAATAAATAGTTAAAAAAAAATCTAAATAAAATGCTTACTAAAGTCATGTGACCATTAAACGACATCAGAGAACCGTGTTATTATTATTATTGACTTATTAACTTTAACTCTCAGGGGGTTTCAATTAAATATTTTTGGACAAAGAGGTTCAGCTGACAAAAAAAAGTTGTGAATCTCTGCATTCCCTCTAAAGAGCTTCTGAATGTAAGCATAAGCAGTCTTTTATAGAAAGGAGAAATATATTAGACAGGGAGAATCAATGAATTATGAATAATTTACTCCCACTTTAAGAATAACGTGTAATCAATAGAAAAGCAACTGTTGTCTGATCATGAGTATTTTAAAAAGTAACATAATCTACAAGTACTTAATTTTTAGAGTCCGATTACTGAATCCATATAACATCCAGATTTATGTAAAACCAAATAGAATCTATTTTAATAGGTGTAGCTGGTTCTTAACCATCCAAATTACATAGACTTTTGGAAACGTAACTTTCTAGTGACAGCTTACTATTGCATCTATAGGTGGCCTCCATAGTATTCGTAAATCTGCTTTATTCAAAGAATATGAGCAATGGCTGCTGCAACAGGCTAATGCGGAGGAGGACTTGATATGGCCTGAGCCGCGTGTGTCCACTAGATGTCAGTGAAGACCAGAGGACGTGCGTGTTGGCGTCGGGACCGTGAGGTTTGGAGTTCAGTGCCAGGAGCTTCCCCTGAGACTGCTGAGAGAAACAGTCCAGACTCCAGACCAAAGAAGCCAAACATCCTCAGCCTGTAAAGCCCATCGCCTGGCCAGCTGGCACACTGCCTTCTCTAGCGCTGCTGTTCCCACAGGGAGAGAGAGAGCAAACGTGTGTGTGCGAGACACTCAAAAGTGTACATGTGGGTTCTGACACGACACCTGAGGCACTTGTTCACATGTTGCTCAACACTAGTCAATAACTGTTACGTTAACAAACTAGGGGGGGGGGGGGGGGGGGGGGGGGGGGTGTTGTACGCCTTGTTATCCGAAGGTAAATCTCACCCCTGAAGCATTGCAAATACAATAGGGAAGGAGTGATATATAACACTTTTTTTGTGTGTGTGTGTGTTGTTGACTTGAGAGAAACTGCATGAGAATGTGTGAGAACAATATTAAGACCAGCTGCCAAACTGCACATTTTTAGGAACAGCTACATGGGGGAAAATCATTAGTTTGAGGTTATTAGCAGATCCTGCAATATCTGAGGCATTCTGAAGTCATGTCTTTTATTTTTATTTTTTTAATTAAATGTTGTTGTTTTTTTTTTTTTTTCAATTATAAACCGGTGATGAATGTTAATAAAGTCCACCAGGCAGGCGAATTATGCAATGTTGGACATGTTAGAGTCTCCTAAGCATGTTCAAGCCTGTTAACCAGATCTGTGTTGGGAATCAGTTTTTCTATGCACCTTACAGTCATAACAATCCCTCTTTTCTTTCGCACAGGGTGTGTAAGCGTGTGACAGCGCCACCAGGTGTACGAGAATGAGCCTGGGAAGACAACCAAGAGGTGAGCATCCAAGGGATACACACTTCTCACTGTATGTAGTTAAGTCAATATGAAAATAAATAGGTATCTTAAATAAATCTGTATCGTATATTGGTTTAGAGTGATGCTGAAAATTCAGCTTTGATTAAAGGAATAAATTACATTTTAAAATATATGAAAATAGGAATCGGCTATTTTAAATTGTAATGATATTTACAATTTTACTGTTATTATTACTGTTTTTTTTACAGCATTTAAATAAATGCAGCCTTGAAAGAGACTGTTTCTTTTTTAAACAGCAGTGAAATTACACTGTATATTATAATGTTGTGATGCCTAAGCTCACTTGTGTATGTAAAATGATTCATTTTAGTTTTTAGATGTTTTTAAAATTTATTTAAGAAATACTCCACTTTTTTGGGAAGTAGGCTCATTTTACTACTCCCCCAGTTGGGTTTTACCGTTTTTGAATGTATTCAGCCGATTTTTTTGATATTTATAAGAATATCAGTAACCAGACAGTTTCTGGTCTCATTGACTTCCATAGTATATTTTTTTCCTACTATGGAAGTCAATGAGACCAGAAACTGTCTGGTTACTGATATTCTTCTAAATATCAGAAAATCGGCTGAATGGATTAGAAAACGGTAAAACCCAACTGTTTAACTCTGGGGAGTGGTAAAATGAGCCTATTTCCAAAAAAAGTGGAGTATCCCTTTAAGACACAATTATATAGAATATTAATACTGCCCATGGTTGTTGGCTATAACATGAAAATCATTATTGCTTATATAAGTATATACAGTAGGTACTATAAGTATTATATAATATATTTTCTGTGCATCCCGCAAATTTAAATGGACCCTTTTTGCTTTCTTAATATATGTTCCTTTGTCTTATGTGAACAATTCTTTGGCGCAAGTAATTTCAAATGAGAAAATGTTTCATTTAAATAACAATTTGTTCCATCTCTGAAACTTTCCTCTTCGGCTGACATCAAACCCTCGTATTTTTCATCCGCTCATCGAATCCAGTCCGATCAATTACCAACTGCCTAGCAACCATGCTGAACACCCTAGCAACGACCTTAGGAAAGGCTTACGCCTGTGACACACCAAGCCGACGTCAAAGAACTAGCGGCGACGAATGCAGACTGCTTTTCAGCGTTTCGGACTGTCCGCTAGCTTGTGTGTTCTGTGCCTTAGTGAAAGTAAATAATATCTGTCTATATCAGAAGGTATCGGTTGTCTATTTTAGAACCTAAACCTAAATTAGCACCCCAGATAAACAAAGCAGAGCTTGCTTACCATTTTCAATATTAATCATGCCGATCACTTTCTTCATTCCAGTCGGCTCATGTTATGAAAATATTTGCTTGCTTTCATCACTTTCGCTTTAATTCTCATGCACTGACTCCTTTCCTAAACTGAACAGCCAATCAGAGTTCTCGCTCTCACCGACGGCCCAAGGCTGAATTCGAACTGTGCAGAACACACCGAAAAAACGAAACCCACCGATGCCTTGCTGTGTCCTGGCCTTTACTGGGAAAATCAGGTCAACTTCAACATCATACCGGCGAGTTTTGCACATACAAAAAAAGTGATAATCTAATGGATAAAGAGCTGGCAGTGTAGTTCACTCCACAAGTGGAAGTCATAGATGATATTGACTTCTGTAAGTAAATATCAGTCTCCTTCAATAACATTCTCACTTTTCAAACTTCCCATTGACTAGCTGCATAGTCTACATTCCTTATTGTCCTTCCGGCCCACTTTCCTCCCATGCGTGTATGTGTGTGTGTGTTACGTTAATGCCTGTAAAAGAATGAGGTTAGGGTGGAGTAGAGACAAACGCCAGAGGATATCATGTGTTTGTGATATGCGTGCGTCACACCAATCACGGAAGCTTTACTTATGGGAAAAGACTATCCTATGTAATGTTTAAGACAACCCATGAAGTATTGCGGGCAAATAGGATGATCTCCGTGCAGGACTGTGTGTGTGTGTGTGTGTGTGCGTAGTAGAGTGCTAAGAGTGGACGGAGAAAAGCCCTTTGCACTACTTTCCCAGGCTGTCGGTCAGGAAGGTTGGGTTTTTTACACCGTGACCACCGTGTTGCCCTTTCCGGGGGAAATCCGAGACAAACACGAAGAAGGGGGGCCGGTCGGGGGGGGGGACAGGAAAACCGACCCTGGGAAGAAGGAGAGGCAAGGAGAAGAAAGGTGTTGGCCACACAGCATGAGAGAGAGGCTTTCAGGGCTTCTTAAAGGACCATATACCTCCCCTCTGTTACCCCATTGTCACCGGCCGCTCCTGTCCCGCTCCCCCTTCTTCCTCAAAACTGGCTCATCTTCTCACAGTTTTGTGGCCTGGAATCACTGCCCCAAAACACAAAGCCCCAACACCTCTCACACAACAATAGACTCCTCCTTTCTCTCCCTGTTACGCGTATTAAATGTTAATTTTCTGACCCTTTTTTGCTCAATTCAAATGCGGTGTGAAGTATCCACATGTAACAATAGCTGACTGGGAAAAAGGAGTCAAGGAGTGCATTACAAAGGAAGTAAAATAGTAAAGCCTGTATCCTGGATTTAAGGGGAAAAAGTTAGGAAAGTCTTACGGTGGTGGGAAAAGTGCTTTAAAACAATCTTAAAATATTAAAAAAACAAAATTCTGTTAACTTTCTCATTATGAATGATTTCATGATTTGGTATTCGCATTCTTTTGTCTTTCATTTTATGGGACTTCTTAAAACTCTTCCTTCCAACCACCTGTCACATAGACACCGCTTTTCACAATCCAGTCAGGTCAAAAATTACTGGTCAAAAAGTTTGAAATCTGTCATTTTGCAGAAATGAAGTTGCGATTATGGCCACGGTTTAGAACACACTTTAGTAAAATCAGTTGGCGCTGTGGTGCCCATATGGGAAAAACGTGTTCGAGTCCAGCCTGCAACATTGCCACTTTTTATTAAACAGCTAGAGCAGAGAGTGACAGGGGAAGTACAATACAAGGGTGGAGTGAAAACAGGCATGCAATGAAAAGCGCATGAGTGTGACCCGGTGTCATGTGTTTGGGCCCAGGTGTTGACCCGGCGGCCCTGCAGGAGCACCTCTGGAGCCTGTGGAACAGGAAAGAGCAGGAGGAGGTAAGGCACAGATGTAATTACACTCGAGCAGAGCGGGAGAGGTGAGATGCCGGCGATAAAATCACTTGAGAGAAGGATTCCCCAAAATTCCTCCATTTCTCCTCACAGTATTAGGAGATACTCCATTACTTTTCAATATAACTATAGTATGTGATACAGATATTGCTCTGGCCCTTATGAGAATAATGTAGACTTCCGATGAAAGGATCAAAGTTGTAACCGCAGTGAATTAAAAGGAGGATTTGGGTCATATAAGTCATTATTAATTAATTTGCATTAATGTTATAACCATCATTACAAAAGAAAATCCTTTTAACTCGTCTCTCTAGACTAGTAATTTTCTGTAGTAATCCACATTATATCACAAATGATTTTGATAGTGTTTACCTTGTAATGAACATTTTCTTGTGTAGTATTCCGATTATATTATATCATCGCATTTTTTTCACCAAAATTCATGATTCACATTCATTCTGTTTACTTCCTTTCCCCCTTTTTTGTGTAAGAAACTCATTCATTTCCAGTGCTTTACTCAATGCTGTATTTAATTTGGTTCAGAATTCAATTAGTTTGGGCTCACTGTTAAATATTTTTATATTATAATAATAACAACACAAGTGTAACCAGTTTACCTGTTTAGATTTGTATTTTGGTTAACAAACAAATTCAGAATACGCAATATTAAGTAATACATGTTATTAAAGTGATTTCAATAGATTATTAATATACTTAATCCCTATTTTTATTGTATTATTATTTTTTTATTATATATATATATATATATATATATATATAATATTTTTACATTCATTTGACATAATTTATTATTAATTTATTTAATCCAGAACTTTTATTTTGGGTTGTTTAATTTTTATATTTGATTTGAATGTTTAACATTTGATTTGATTTTATATTTAATTTAAACATTTGATTTTTAAATTATTCATTATTATTGTTATTCTCCTTTGGCCAACCGGTATGTAAAGCTCCCCTTTTCCTCCCTCAGCTGCGGCAGTTTTTAGCGTGCAGTTTCTCGCAGATGCAGGAGCCCATGTCTGGTCTGCTGGACCTCCTGGAGGGCTGCGTTTCCGTCCAAAAGGGCAAGACCACCTCTCCGAACCAGTTGATCCTCTCAGAGTTTATGCGCTGGAGGACCTGTAATCCCCAGGCCAGTCTGAACGTCCTGACGGAGGAAGAGCGACTGCGCGTCCAGCAGCAAGCGCTGAGTCTCCTCACAGACTCTCATCCCGGGCTCATGGACCCCCTGCTGGAGCTGTACCAGCTGAGCTCGCTGAAGAAACCTCTGCTGTTGGAGCACGTGTACCTCCTGCAGGACCTCCGCTGCTTCAAAGAGGTGTGAGGGGGACTCCTTCACAACACCAGCATATGGGACAGGGACGAAAGAAAAACAAAGGGTTTCTAGGGGTCGAAACGGTTTTGGAAAAACATAGTTTTGTGGTGTATTTAATTATGGGCAAAATATAATTATGATTTTGGGAGTGCAATGTGGCCTGGATGATTTCAAAATTTCAAATTTGTTTTGGTCAAAATTGTGACGTTTTGAAGCGATCAGCATTGTATGATCAGAATTTGAGCTTCTTAGGTCGCATTCATATTTATATTTCATATTTTCGTGTGAATTTTAAATAATTGTGGAAACTAAAAATGATTTTATTTGCTGTCATTAAATGGGGGGGGGATCAAAAAATGAAATTATATTTTGTTCATTTTTTACAGTCATTTAATAGTAATTTTATTTCGGGTCGATTAAATAAACAATAAAAAATAATTTTAAAAAGTCTACAATTTTGACTTTCTCCACCAAAAGATAATGTCAATAGAAAACTGTTCAATACTTTTTAAAATGAATATATACAGTATTTAAACAAGCATTATAAATGTTGTATAGAATCAACCTATTTGGTTACCAGGGGTGTTTTTTATTTGACAATACCAATATAATGAGCAGCATAAGCCGCTGTATTGACAGGAAATCTTGTATTTTCTAACAGGCGTTGGTGTTCAGTGTCAAAGTGGAGCTCCAGAAGGATCTGGACATGGAGAAGGTCAGTTTAGCCAGATTGATGAGTATAGCTGGATGTTTCCTCTATCTTGTGTGCACTGTTGGTGTGTGTGCCGGCAGATGTGTGTGCCGGTTATCCTCCTGGACAAGCTTTCTCTGGCGGAGCTGTATGTGCGGGATCACCCTGAGCTGCAGCGGCGGCTGCTCGCACTGCTGGACTCCTGGTGTGACCCCGGCTTCAGCATGCAGGCTCTCCTCAGGTGAGCAGTCGGCACAGGGGTCCACATGCTGCATATTACTGAAAGGGGGAACAATGTACTTACCTTATTGTGCATGATGTCTCATAACAGAATTAGGAATTTATGAGAAAAATTTACTTGATTGCCATGTAAATATTGTCACAAAACAAAAAGTCCTTAATTAGGCTTAATGCAAAAAAATATTTGGGGGTCATATATAACCTGGACATTTCTTCATGACATTCACCTGAAATATCAACATTGAAAGATTTATAATAATAATATTTATGACTTTTTGTTATTATCAGTAGTATTATTAATATAATATATTATCTATTTTAATAATATTCAGTAAATGTATCCATCTTTTTTTACACTGTTTACTTGTCCGGTTTTACTTGTGAAAAATGATGTATTAGTCTATTTATTATTAGTCTATTCTATCATTTTATAATACTCATTTATCAATCATTTATCATTCATTCATTTTTTTCATACTGTATGTTTTAGTGTCTAAATGCCGATTTTTACGAAAATGCTGATTTTTACATCTGCAATATTGGGTACAAATAAAAATGCCTATTATTATTATTATTAACAATAATAATGATTATGATGATTATATATTTATAATAATTGCCAATTCTCTCTTTTTTTGTAATTCTCATTTATCCATAATTTTTCCACAATTAATTCATCTTGTAAAGTTCAGATGCCTGATTTCACTTGTACAAAATTATGTAAAATGAATAAATATGTTTTCATTTATTACTATGTATTAGTAATTATTTTTATATTAACAGTAATATTTTCTTTCATTTTATAATACTCATTTATCCATCACTATTAATTCATTCCATCTTTTTATGTTTAGATGCCCAATTTCACTTGTACTAAATGGTAAAATGAATAAATATTAAATTCATTTTTTACATTTATTACTAATATATATTAGTCATTATTATTACTATTATTATTAAATGAATAATAATTGTTTAGTTTGTTCTGTCATATTATAATGCTCATTTATCATTTATCATTCATCCTTCTTTTGATGCCTGATTTTTACTTCTGTGAAATTAATTAAAAAGTCATTCATTATAATAATGATGGCGTGGATGATAAAGTCTATCTAGGCAGAGTTTGCTGAGTGATTGTGACGTGTTGTGTGTTTTCAGTCAGTACCCATTCCTGGTTCTGTCTAAGCATCAAACGGACCAGATTCAGCCCAAGCTGCTCAGTAAGCACGTCTTCAGACTCATGGAAAAGTTCTGCATTGACCCAGGTGTGTGTGTGAGTCTGTTGGACACTCTCATCATCTTTATCAATGCGTGTGTATTTGATGTTTATGCGTTTGTTTCTACAGGTCTGTGCTCTAATTCTGTCTACAAGAGAAAGCTGGACTCACTGAGGTTTCTCATGTACAAAACCTTTGTTGAGGTGAGAGAGTCATTTTCACTGCATCACATCAGTCAAAAACATATAAGGGCATCAAGTGTCAAGGTCCTAGAACTCTACTTTTTGTATTTATGTTGGATTCATATGGTTTTGAAAAACCGTTTCCAAGGAAAGTTTCTGTTCAGTGACTCTATATATGTCCGCTGGTGTAATCATCAAGTAAGAAAATATTTCTTTGACCCTTTTGATAAATGAACACTTTGAATAAAAGTGTACATCTTTATCATTATTTTCATCAGTGTTTATTAATATAATTTTTAAGGCAAGCAGTATTTCTTATTACAAATAAATGTCAACAAAAACACAATGATATTTATGAGTCGCACAGCATGACAACCTGAACTAACCTTGTCTGGTCTTAAATCAAATCATCTTGTGAAAATATATTTTTTAATATAGAGGCCCTGACTATAGATATCATGTCCTGTTTTATGGTTTTTGTGGCGCTGCTACACATGATGTTGATTTAGCATACAGGTTTTTCAAAAATCAACAATATATTATATAATATTATTAAATTATATAGCCTAAATTAATGTAAAATATAAAAGAATAGTATTATAATATGAATATAATTTTAATGTTAATTTAAGTAAAATGTTTATTAAAGATAATTTATATAATTTATCATATAAAATTGTGTGTGTGTATTTGTATGTATATATATATATATATATATATATATATATATAATGTGTTAATATTTAATATAAATTTTTCTTATAATTTTTTATAATATAAAAAACATTAATTTATTAATAATTAGTAAAGCAGTTTTGTTAAGATATAAATTCCTTTTTTTGATTTTCTCATCTTAAAAGAGGTATCATTTTATATGTAATAATGAGTTGCATTTTTTTTTTTGTTATTTTTTAATAAATTAGTATTAGTCACGTAATCATATGTAATGTTTTCTAACCAATCAAATCCTAATTAAAAAGGTGATGTCTTGCCCTTCATTTACCTCTGAATATTTTGTGCACTCAGAAATCTATCACGTTACGGAAGCTAAATGTGAATACTTTATGTGATGTATTGCAGTGATGTGTCTGCTTCATTGTATTTGACAGAAAGGTATGTCTGAAGAGAACTGGAGAGACCATGTTCAGGTAATACTTATTCTGGTTTGATTCAGAACTTCAACATTTTAACTGAGCTTTAAACATTTTAACTGTGTGTGTGTGTGTGTGTGATCTCAGGCCATGATTGAAGGTAATCTAGAGCTCCAGGTTCAGTTGGTGCAGCTGTTGGTTAAACACTGTAGCCTCCAGACTGCGGCCCAGTGGGCTGCACATTACAGCGTACCCAGAAACAGGCTTCCAATAGGAGTCTGGGACAAAATTCAGAGCCTTTCGCCCAAGGAGCTGTAAGTATTACACACACACAGAGATCTAAAAAAATAACTATACTCGGGATGACCTCCCGTCAATTATTTTAGTACCAATAATAGTATTTTTTTTGTAACCTTCACACAAACCTTCTAACACAAGTTTTTGACGTGTTACAATATTTGTGAAGATACTTTGGCTTCCACACACACACATAACCATCACCCTCACAAGTATATTCCTGTCACAGAGAAATGTGTGCTGTGAGCGGCCCACCGGAGTCCTGGACACCCCTTCAGTCTGATCAGGAAAAATACTACCAGATACCTCTAGCCAGAGAAAACGTCCACTTTGTAGAGACATTAGATAAAGTTAAGCAGTGCAGAGAAGCTGTTTTAAAGGTAACACTTTGCCACTTAATATATACTTTTATGTAAATTTTGATTATGATTTGACTAATCTATGCGTACTGATGCGGTTCATATTGTAACATCAACTTTAATTATTTCTAAACAACAGGGAAGAACAAGATTCTGTTTTCCATTACAAGTCTCCTTAAACTGTTTCTCCTTGCTCTTCTTCAGCCTGGCTGTGTGGTGGGAATTGACATGGAGTGGAGAGCTGGTTTTGGCACGGTGTCGCCTCAGTGCGTGGCTCTGATCCAGCTGGCCCTACAGGAACAGGTGTTTCTGCTGGACATTTGTGCCCATGCCATCAGCCACCACAGCATCACAGTGGACTTCATCAGGGCTCTGCTGTCAGACAAGAGCATCATCAAACTAGGTAGAAGACTAAAATTCTTAATAAGTAAATTCTTCCTATTGTTCGTAGTTCATAAACTGTGGGTGGCCTATCAGGAAAGATATGGAAATTCTGCCCTGAGCTTTGAATAGCATTTCTTGCTGTGTGTGTGTTCACTAGGTTATGGGATGTCTGGAGACTTGCGGAGTCTGGTCAGCACGTGGCCTGAGCTCAGGGAAGAGCCAATGAAGATGGAAGGAGTTCTGGACCTTCTCCACGTCCATCAGGAGGTACTGCTAAAATCGACCCGCAGCTTACCTATTTCTGATTGGATTGATTAGCTGAAAAATGTAACAAATGCACATATATTCAAGTTCACATGTTGCTATTTTGGAGTCTGTTGTTATTCTTTTTACAAATGACCCCTGTCCCGACAGCTTCAGCGGTGCCGTTAGGGAACAAAGGGTGTCGGTCGGTGGAAGTTTGTGAGGGACCGGCAGAGAAGGGCCTGAGTCTGCTAGTACAGCAGGTGTTGGGAAAACCACTGAACAAAACCGAGCAACTGTCCAACTGGGAACGCCGGCCACTCCGGACCAGCCAACTCCGCTATGCTGGTAACACAAAATCCATGTGTGGTAGCATAATGTTTTTGAACCGTCTCTTACTCTCTTTCTGTGTCTATTTTCAGCCGCTGATGCATACTGCCTGCTGAACGTCTACCTTGTCCTCTCCGGGGACCCGAAGGCATATGGTTTGCCAGAGGACCTCTGCTCCATTCCCTCAGCCCAACTGGCCAAGAGCCGGGAGGAGAAGAAACCCAAAGGGAAGAACAAGCAATCTAAAAGAAGAGAGGTCAGTTCACTGGTCTGCCATGTCATGAGCCAGTAGTACAGAAAATTACTCTGTTGTAACTTGTGGGGTTTTTATGATGCAGAAATGGAGAACAACTAAAAATGTGGCATACAGTAGTCCTTTTTTGAAGGGGTTTGTCTATCATTACTCACATTGTTAATTATTGTTAAAAATCTGTCATTTTAAGACAATTTTTGCCTATTTTATATATAATGTACTATTTTCTTTAAAGACCCAAGCCATCTTATATGTCCTGCCCACCCTTTTCATCTGTGATGCAATTTAGTGGCTCACTATCTTTACAGTAGAACACTTTAGAAATGTCAAATAATGTCATCTTCACCAATGATGTTGGAGTGTGTTCCAATCTTTAGGCTCGGCAAAAGGCGAACGAGCCCCAGTCTGTGGAGAATGACTGTTTTAAGTATCCGGAGTACCAAGGGCCCACCATCACGCCGCCAGAGCTACGAGTGGTCTGTGATAACATGCTACAGGGTCTGGGACGTTTTTTGCGATGTCTGGGCGTGGACGTCAAGATGCTGGAAAACACAGATGACCATAAAGTAGCAGCTGAGGTGAAACAATTAGTCACGTTTTGTTGATATTTGACGTAATTGTATTAGTTACATTTAATTTTAAAACTGGTAGGACATCATGTAATGGTCCTCAGCTGTTTCAGGTCTTATTTAGAAAGAACAAGTTACTAAAAATCTTAATAGACCTCCATGGCATGTGGCGTCCCTCAGGGCTCGATCCTTGGAACTTTCCTGTTTAACCTAAATTATATATGCCCACAGAAGGCCGAATAATGTAAAGTAACAGAAATGTCTATCATAGTTAAGCATCCAGATTTATCTATGGTTATCATCTACGGGTGACTACAACCTCATAGATTCTGCTACTATTTAATAATAGACAAATCAGAGGTTGTGTCAGATTTGGCCATAAAGAACATGTTAAGGCAAATTCCTCGTGAGGTTTAAAGACTTAGTATCCTCTATTATATTAATCTCAGTTTTAGTAGTCATGTTAAAAACATAACTAAATCACCCTACTATTATCTTGAAAAAAGTAATAATTTATTTGTTAATATATATATATATATATATATATATATAATTATTATTATTATTATTTTCTTTATTTTCTTTATTTTTTAAAGTAATGTATTTGCTCTCATGTTATGCTACATTCTCTCCTCCAGCTGGCCCGTGCTGAAGGTCGTGTCATCCTCACTGCAGGTCAACCCTACCAAACAGTAAGTGTGTGTTTGATGTATTGAGAAACATGCAAGCTCTGTGGGCTTTCTTGCTACATAGGTAGTGTGCCTGTGATTCCTTAAAATCCTGGCCTCATCGGAAGCTTGCTAGGTTTTAGCTTAACAAAACTCCAGTTCACTTGAATTTAATTTGTGCATCTGTGTGAATAGCTACGGTCACAAGTCGGAGAAGGCCGCTGCCTGATTTTGGACTGCTCAGAAAAGGCACGTGACCAGGCTGTGCACGTTCTCAGACATTTCCACGTCCGCCTAACCCCTTCAGACATCTTCAGTCGATGCCAGGTCAGTTGTGCATGTCTATAAACGAGCTCGTATGCGTGTGTGTGCCTCTTACATTTGTTATCACTAGGACAAGAAACCTCTTCCTCTTGAAAAGGAACGCCCACATTCTTTTATCAACATTATTAAAAGGGAAGATAAAAGGAGATTGACAGATCGCAATCATACTTTGTCAAATTTTGATCGTGCCATATACCACAAAACAGTGCGCTGACAGTGCAAACAAACATCAGGAGCCTTTAGAAAAGTTGACAAAATGGAGGAACAAGGTTTGTTTTTAAAGATCTTAGAGGAAATGACCAACTAACATTGCGTTATTAATTCTATTTGACTGTAATCAGTCGTTTTGGAATTTCCTTGAAATACCTAAATATCCTCAATGAAATTTTTCAATGAAATGTTTTGTCTTATCTGCAGACACAAGTTGTCATACCAGAAGGAAGCTAAAGAGATAGAGGGCTTCTCTGGTGACACTTCTCCTGTTAATCATTGGCTTGAGATGTCACTGTGTTTTATGTAGAAACAGTGCAGGAGGAACTTTCTTCAGGCATTTCCTCTCACATAACTGATGATCGGAAATCAGACAATGGGTATGGATAAGGAAATAAGCAATTACCGGAGGGATACAGAGGACAAACTGAAGGAAAGAGTTAGGTACATAGTTATCATTAGAGATGCACTAATATGGTTGTACTCTTGGTGGTTGCTGGCTAATTACTTACTGGATCAACTCAAAAGAGTTTCCATGATAGGCTAAATTCATATGTGAGATCACTTTGAAACATTACTACTCGCCTCTCTACACAAAAAAACACATGGCATGTGGTGTACCACAGGGCTCGATCATTGGACTTTTGCTGTTTAACCACTATATGTCCAAACAAGGCCAAATAATGCAAAATTACAGAAGAGTGTAGCCAGATCTAACTAGTGCTATTGTTGCTAGGGTTTTCTTGGTGGGTCCTCATATTTGCTTACTTGTTAAAGTCAAAGAGTTTCTATGACCGGCTTAAATTGTATGTGAGATTGCTTTGAAACATCACAATAAAACTCCTTTTATTAAAAAACAACAACACATCATTCCAGGTATAGATCAAACCCGTAGCCAAAAAAGACTGGTTATGTGTCTAAATTTAATTTGTGGTTAAATATGAGCAGTAGTAAAATGTGTTTATATTATCAAAACATAATATTGGCTAATACTGATAAGATGATCAATGGGTGAATAAATGGAAACTGGGAGATGATGAGAATAGAGTGAGAACACGGCAAGAGAAGACAGGCAGAAAGATGTAGTGAGAGATAACACAGAGAAAAACAAAGGGAGAGACAGACTAGGGTGTGAGTCAAATGGAGAGATGGAGGCAGATATGTGCCTGACTCATTCCTGCTGTAATACCTGATCTCCATTAGAGCTGCACCTCCGGCTCCTCCGCAGGTCTACAGTTGTTTATCACTTGTAATTTTGAGGATTCGAGAGTTCAAACTTGGAGCATCAAAACTCCAGTGGCATAAATGTGATGCAACAAGTTTTAAATATGCTAAAGTGAGAATGAGATTTGAATGCTTAATTCAATAAATAGCTACTGATCCTCATGTAAAGCTGATCCGACTTTTTATAAAACAATTATGAACTTATTCTATGACCAATTAACTCATTTTATGATGCTTTTATCGGCCATTTATTCATTGTTTGAGCTTGACGTTGTTTGTCCCTGTGCACTTTTAGTGTAAATAAAAGAGCACCCATAGTCACATGGGTTTAGACAAACATGGGGATGAGCAAATGATGACAATTTTAATTCTCAGTGAACTATTCTTTATTATTTTAATAATACTTAGTACAGCCTATTATTGTTTATGTCACAGCCATTAAGCTGTTGATGCGACATACTGTACTAAAAACTCAGTGACTGCGCAATTCTGCATGTATCATTTCCCACACGCCTTATAACAGTCAAAAGAGTTTCTACCACACCAAGTTCACACCTATAGCCAGTGTGGACAGGAGAACGTGGTTGAATTCCAGACGTGGGTCGTCTAAGCTCCACGTGGGTGGTGGTTTCCCCAAATGTGTCAGTTTTGTGGCCACCAATCTTTCCTGATCGGGTGGCCGGCTGCTCCCATCCGGAACAGTCGCATTCCACCATTTGTTGCCTGAGGTTTCATCCACCTCTGAATGTTGGCTGAACAAATTGTACCAGCAAATTGTGCTAGAAAACCAAACTGTGGCATTTTAAAGTTCTGAATGAGATGGAAACATTGGAATAAACACTGTATGACTTGCTGACTCTGAGCGAGGGGGGGTATAAAGAATGCGGTTTTGGAGTTGCACCCCAGGGCTGGTATGTGGAAGCCCACCCATGCTAAGTTGACCCTTTTGTTATCTGATGGTAAAGTCCTTTGATTAACAGTGGCTGGGTGACTTGCCCCTGGCTCTGAGAGACATTCCTAAAGCCCCCTGTGTGGCCCATTGATACTCATTGCCAATCATTAACCTCTACCCTGTAGGGGTGTAACGGTACATGTATTCGTATTGAACCGTTTCGGTTCGAGGCTTCCGGTTCGGTACGCATACAAACCGAACGGTTGCTTGGATAATTTTTCCTGCCGGCAAAATTCGTGCTGACGCGGCCAACACAACGTTGCGCAACATCAAATTGGCAAGCGTAATGAAAGCAGAACGAAACTGCGCTACTCGTTATGTGCTTCACGGATCGTTTATCAGTTCGGACCAGCAACATCTGTGCAGCGCGAGCCGATCTCCATCAAGCAACACTGTTACTACACAGCGCTAAGAGATCCGGTAAAGAACACATTTGAATTCGCCACTGAGGTAATAACATCGCTGCGAGATCTAGTGAGATGCATACACATTTCTCCGTTATTTACCGTAGATCTCTATTAGATTAAACAGCGCTGTCATGGAAACCAGGAGAAACATTGTGCCGTGAATGAACTAGTAATACTTTCGTCCACAGACCAGCAACATTCACCATGGATTTAATATAGTAACACTAACTGGAACCAGTTTGGCTGGAATGGTGAAATGCTTTCAAGTACTTCACACATCTTTTTCTAGCACTTCAAAATTCAAATATTATATAAATAAATATATATATTTAAATGTTATTTTTAATGCACTCTCAGAAAAAAAGGTACAAAAGCTGTCACTGGGGCTGTACCTTTTCAAAAGGTACACTTTTGTACCCAAAGGCTGCATATTGGTACCTTAGTGGTACATATTAGCACCTAAAATGGACATATTACCACCTGAAAAGGACATAATTAGCTCATGAAATTGACATATTAGCACCTTAAATGTACATATTAACACTTAAAATGTACATATTAGTACATCAAATGTACATATTACGACCTAAAATGGACATATTAGCTCATAATATTGACATATTACCTCCTGAAATGGACATATTAGCACCTAAAATGTACATATTAACACTTAAATGTACATATTAACACTTAAAATGTACATATTAACACCCAAAATGTACATATTAACACCTAAATGTACTTATTAGCTCATGAAATGGACAAAAGTTTACCTTTTGAAAAGGTACAGCCCCAGTGACAACTTTTGTACCTTTTTTTTCTGAGTGTGTGATGACCAAAACATTATTTGTTCATCCTTCAAAGATGACCCCCATTTATAAACCTGAAAGTTTCAAGATCTAGGAAAACTCACACTTATTTAAAAATATTTTTTCTTTAAACAAATAGGAAATTTCTCTGGCATTTCTTTCTTTTTGCTGTATCGAAAACGTACCGAACCGTGACTTTAAAACCGAGGTACGTACCGAACCGTGATTTTTGTGTACCGTTACACCCCTACTACCCTGCCATAATCCTTTCTCTTTCTCTCAGTCTCTCTCTCTCTCTCTCTCTCTGTCTTCTCTCTTACTGCTTTATCAGTTTATCAGCCTCTTCCTGTGCATTCCTCTCTGTCCACACCAGGTGTAAGTTAGGATCAGGGCTAAGCTGAGTTCAAAAGTGTGTCACCACACTAAATGGATTAGAGATCCGACTAGATGTTTTTTTTTTGTTTGTTTTTTTGTCAGTAGCATATTCACCAAAATGACTGTAAATTACTGTAAGTTTCTACAAAAATGTTAAGCAGCAAAAGCTTTCAGCATCAATAATAAGAAATATTTCTTGAGCATCAAACCATCTTAGTAGAATAAGGATCATGTGCCACTGAAGACTGGAGTAATGATGCGGAAAACTCGGCTTTGAAACTCAACTCATCCATCTATCCATCCATCCATCCAAAAACAAGAGAAAAAACAGACCAGAAGGGTATTTCTCTTTTATATAGTAAAGGTCTCCTTTCGTGAAGGCTAGTGTACTCAAGGAAAGCCTTTTGTTACGATATCTCATTGTAGCTCGACTCAGGAGCCACCACTAATATGAGCCCCTTTTGCACTGGGTAGTTCTAGGAACTTGATTTTAGTGTATGTATATATATATATATATATATATATATATATATATATACCCAATGGTGTCACTAGCTGAGCAGGAATGCATAATCATGTTTCGCTTGGTCCTCTCAAAGTCGTGTTGGATTTTCTCATTAGCGTAAATGTTGAGAGGTCCATCTATCACTGGTCGATGTTTGTAGAGTTGGTTTGTGGAGTAAATAAAAAGGCTACAATCTGTGTGTGAACACTTTTTTTTTTTTAATGGCGGACGCCATTTAGCTTTCGGCAAATTAGCGTATAATTAGCGTCACTAGTAGTTCCTATTGTGCTGGGTTAGACCCTACTCTGAAGTAGGAGCTAATTTAGCACCCCCCCCCCCCAAAAGGCATTTCTAGAACTAAAATCGTTCCCAGTTCCTGCAATGTAAAGATGCCAAAAAGTGGGTATTTCTGCCATTTAGTACTAGGAACTATGAAAAGGCCACTAATGTCATGGTAGTATGGGTAGTTGCTCACTGGCAATAGTAAATAGAGCCCACCCCCAAGACTTTATAATATTCTG